TGAAATCTTGCAAAAAGGTTGCAAAAGTAAATTATGTTGTCAAATGATCACCCATATTAAAAAAAAATCAAAATTAGCAATATAAAGTAGGCTAAAGACAAAGATCTGCTCCTGACAGCCTTGCTAGTTGTACTCACAATACAAGTACATTTTTCCGTGTATCAATGTCACAAGATTAGAACTCTGCTTCTCAATCTAGGACACTGAAGGTACAAAATTCACTGAAGGTAAAAGAAAAAGAAATTATAATAGTAGGGGGGAAAACAGCAGTCAACACTTTTTTTTTTTTTTGGTGCTGGGGATTGAACCCAGGGCCTTGTGCATGCAAGGCACATACTCTACCAAATGAGCTATATCCCCAGCCCAGCAGTCAACACTTTTATGATCATTATCCTTCCAGACTTTCTTCTGGATGTTTCTTTATCAAATAGCTACTTGATTATTCTGTCTTTAGGAATAAGAACAATACTATATTGGGACCCTATGTGAGAAAAATTCAGTATCTGATCCTGCTACCAGCTTCTCTTCAAAGTCTGGATGTCCTGACCTGATGATAATATATAGATCAACACTTCAGTTTGTTTTGTAACATTACTGTATCCTAGGAACATCATATATGCTATGAACTGAACTGTGAACACCCAAATTTGCATGCAAAAGTTCTGACACTCAATGTTATGTTATTTGGAGACAGAGCCTTTGGGAGGGATTAGGCTTAGATGAGGTCATGAGAGTGGAGTTCTTAAAATGGGATTAGTGTCTTTATAAAACCAGAATTTATTCTGTCTTTATCCACCATGTGAGGAAGAAGCAGCCTTCTACAAGCCAGGAATAGGGCCATCACAGTGAATGTTGTCTTGTCTTGGAATTTCCAGCCTTCAGAACTGTGAGAAAGAAATGTCTGTTTAAGTCACCCAGTCTGTGATATTTTGTTATGATGGCCCAAGCAATAAAAAAAGACAATGTTGAATGAAGCTTGATTCTGTTTCTTAATTGTTTATTAAGGGACAGACTGGGGAAAGAGAATTGGGAAGAAGGAATAAACAAAAAACAAATCCTGACGAATCTGAAGTTACTGCTTTAAGGGTTTTAAAGGAGGGGGCAATCCGGCACTGAGAGTGCTGTGTTTTTCAGAATCTGCCTCATCAGTGCAATTTGAGAACTGCAGCCGTGAGCTGAATATGATCCTCTTAGACTTTGGGATCTGTCTTTCTGAATCTGAATTTTTTAAAAAAAATAATATTCTTATTAAGTGAATGTATGCTTATTTCAAACATCCAGACAACACTGGTTCCATATCTTGATATGCAATCCCCTTACAACAATCATCTCATCCCAGAAACAACCTTTGATGGAGATTCTATTTCTATGCAATGAGATGAACACAAGGAGCTGACAACTTTTAAAGATTATCGTCTGGATCTACATCATTCCTATGAGACAAACATAAGGCATAAAACTTTAAGTTTCTATTAGTGTTCTCAACTTTACAGGATAAGGAGGACATAATAAGAATTCAGCCCAAATTTCAGAGTGACTTCTCAGAATATAAATTTGATTGAACTCAGAATGCTCAGATTCCTTATGCAGTTCTGATATTTCCAAACACCTGAACATAGAGTCTGTTCCAAGGGGTCCACTAATCTGTCCTTGCTTTCAGGCTCCTCAGCTCCACTGTGAGCCAAATGCTGTCTGTGTTGAGATCCTGAGGGTCCTCCTGTACTATAAATTCTTTTCCTCTAAAGGCATCCAGATCTGTTGCACTTTGGTGCTGGCAACTGACCTGAACAGCAGTCTCTCACATGTTCAGGATCCAAAGACAGAAAATGATCTACAGTAATATACAGGGCATATGTGGTCTATCACTAACTACTGGTTTCTAGATGTGTTGAGAATTTTCATTTTGATAGCTGGGTATGGTGATTCATGCCTGTGATTCCAGCAACTCAGGAAGCTGAGACAGAAGGATTGAAAGTTTGAGGCCAGCCTCAGCAACTTGGGGTTGGGAGGCAAGACCTTCAGCAACTTAGTGAGACCCTGTCTCAAAATAAAAAAAATAAAAGTAAAAAAGGTCTGGGGATGAAGCTCTGTAGTAAAGTGCTCTGGGTTCAACCCCCAGATATCAGAAAAAAAAAAGAACTTTCATTTTGGTTCACCAATGATACTCTGAGTAATTTTGCATTATTGATTTTGCTTCAATGTGTCTTCATGATAGTGGATTGTACAGTACTCTCAATATAGTAAGCCTACCCAAGGATGATAAAGATTCTTGTCCTGATCATGAACACTATAACTCTTTGAGGTTGATGACAGGAAGGAAAATGAGAAAATGATCAGAAAAGAGACAGGAGAGTTCCTGATATCTGGTGACAGATATCTTAAGACTCCTGATATCTTAAGACTCCTGGAAAGTCTGAGATAGGCTTTGCATTTTCTGTAGCCACGAGCTTCTACTGATCCCAACAAAAGTTTCTAAATTAAAGGTCTTACAAATATTACGAATGTTATAGAGACCTCTGATGTGGGTAGTTTTTGTTCTGCCTCCTCTGATTTTCTTCAGTAGAGATTTTAGTAGAGATTTTCTGAGTTTCTTTGGTAGAGTTCTATTGGGCAGTAACTATTGTAGTTACAAGGAGATCTCACACAGCTTTCAGGTAAAAGTCAGTGTCCTAGAATTTGTAGTGAGTTGATGGAGTCACTGTTCAAGCTGTTTAGGGAACCCAGGCCATATAGTCTTAACTGTATGTTTCAGTTATAGAATTACCATTTAGTTCATACTGATCTAGAGGACTTGGAAACTTAGGATGCTTTTATAAGATGGAGAAGAATGTGGAAGTAGGGGTCAGGTTGAGAGCATCAGATAATTGTGCATGGTCACAATTCCTAGCACAGATCATGGTACTTCTATGACTAGCCCATCTTTTGTTTTTTTTATGTGTGTGTGTAAAAAATTTTTTTTATCATGTTTCACTGCAGTTATTGACAGATTTGAGGTAAAACTATTGAGTCTCTTAACAGTCTTGCTTTCATATGGACCTAGCACAATATGAAAAAATGGTATGATTTCAAGAGACAGATATTAGTTGCAGAGATATAAAGATTCTTATGTACACTACTTTCTTTTTTTTGGGGGGGGGTTATTGCTTTTATTTTTAAATACATAACAGCAGAATGCATCACAATTCTTATTACACATATAAAACACAATTTTTCATATCTCTGTATATAAAGTATGTTCACACCAATTCATGTCTTCATACATGTACTTTGTTTTTTTTTTTTTTTTTGAGTGAGAGATGAGAGAGAGAGAGAGAGAGAGAGAGAGAGAGAGAGGGAGAGAACTTTTTAAATATTTATTTATTTATTTTTAGTTCTCAGCGGACACAACATCTTTGTTGGGATGTGGTGCTGAGGATCGAACCCGGGTCGCACGCATGCCAGGCGAGCGTGCTACCGCTTGAGCCACATCCCCAGCCCCCATACATGTACTTTGGATAATGATGTCCATCATATTCCACTATCTGCTGAGGCTGGCCTCAAACTTTCAATCCTCCTGTCTCACCATCTTTGCTAACCCCCACCCCCTCCCTTCCCCTCCCACCCCTCTGCCCTATCTAGAGTTTGTCTATTCCTCCCATGCTCCCTCTCCCTACCCAACTATGAGTCAGTCACTTTATATTAGAGAAAACATTCGCCATTTGTTTTGGGGGGGATTGGCTAACTTCACTTAGAATTATCTTCTCCAACTGCATCCATTTACATGCTAATGACATGATTTTATTCTCTTTTAATGCTGAGTAAAATTCCATTGTGTATATATGCCACATTTTTGTTATCCATTCATCCACTAAAGAGCATCTAGATTTGCTCCACAGTTTAGCTATTGTGGATTGTGCTGCTATAAACATTGATGTGGCTGTGTCCCTGTAGTATGCTATTTTTAAGTCCTTTGGGTATAGACTGAGAAGAGGGATAGCTGGGTCAAATGGTGGTTCCATTCCATGTTTTCCCAGGAATCTTCATTCTGCTTTGCATATTGGCTGCACCAATTTGCAGTATGACTGGCCCATCTTTGTGGCACGTGGGAAGTAGTACGATGACCTGACAGGTAAGAAAAACTACTTATTTTAAGACATTCTTTTATATGTAGTGAACATAGTGATCTGTTAGTGAAGCAGCTCAGGAGATGGGATACTTGTGACTTAGATTTTCTACTGAATGGTCCTTTTACTATTCCCTGGTCATCTGCATTTTCAAGTCTGAAAATTCACTGAATCTTCTCAGGCTACAGGAACAACTGTATATTTTATAACTTTGGGCAAGTTACTTTCTAGATCCAATTTTTATTATCTGATAACTGGGAATAATAAAATGAACCTCTTAGGTGCATTAAGAAGACTAATTAAAAAGAAACTATATTTGTAAACACCTATAAAACATCTGATACATAGATAATCTATGTTGACATTCATATTGCTATTTTAAATTTCTTTTTTTAGTTGTAGATGGACAGAATACCTTTATTTATTTATTTTTATGTGGTGCTGAGGATTGAACCCAGTGCCTCATACATGCAAGGCAAGTGCTCTGCCACTGACCCACAATCCCGGCCCTCATACTACTATTAAAATATTATTAGTATAGCTAGGCGTGGTGGCACAAGCCTGTAATCCTAGTGGCTTGAGAGGTTGAGGCAGGAGGATTTTAAGTTCAAAGCCTGTTTCAGCAATGGCGAGGCACTAAGCAACTCAGTGAGACCCTGTCTCTAAATAAAATGCAAAATAGGGCTGGGGAGGTGGCTCAGTGGTTGATTGTCCCTGAGTTCAATCCCTAGTACCTTCCAATATTATCAGTATAGACACAAAAAGATACATTGTTTCTCTAATGAAATATATTATGGAGACATACAATTTTAATTAGCTATTGTGGAAATTTAAATTATTCAACCCAAATGAACACAGAAACAAAATTATTCTCTGTAGAAGATACTTTTAACTCACCTTAGTTGCTTCATTGATGATTTGGAACCTGGTGCTGTATTTTTCTGTTGTGACTGAGTCTAATAATGCCCGATAGGTAGAATTCTTGGAGAGCTGTTTTTGACGCCTATCAATATGAAGTATAAAGATGTGTGAGGACTATTTGTGATTGGCAGCATCCAATAGAGTATATTAACATGTAAAAGTCATTAAAAATGCATTATGAAGCTGAGAGTAGTAGCAGACACCTGTAGTTCCAGCAACTCAGGAGGTGGAAGGATCATGAATTCAAGGTCAGCCTGGGCAATTTAGTGAGATTCTCGGCAGATTAGTGAAACCCTGCCTCAAAAGGAAAAATAGAAAGAACTTGGGATGTAGTGCAGTGGGGTAAAGCGACCATGGGTTCAATCTTTAGTACCAAAAAAAAAAAAAATTCACTGTGTTATTAAGTGAACAGGGCAGAGGTAGTACTAGTACTCTCATAAAGTATTAAGGGTACTACATAATATTTGAGTACTAATAAAATTATTACTAATAAGAATATTAATGTAATTTTTCAATATAACATCCTTAATTTGCTTAAGGATTGCAATTTGTCTCCTTTATTGAGCAAGTGGGGTAATTTTCAAAGGTGACATTTATGAGTTTGTTCATGTCCTACTCTCTTTTCATGAAATAAATCCTTTAGTTGCAACTGAATAGATTCTAGTAGAAATTCATCTAATGGTTTAACAAGATGACCAGGCATATCCTATGAATTACTGTGAAGTGGATTTTTGCACATGTAGAATCTAGAGTGTATCCTGAGACTAGAGAGTATCAGTAGACAAACCTTCCTATAATTGAATTCCTATAATTGTCAACACTGCTCATGGGAAGAATACATAGTTGAAGTAAGCTACAATGTAATATGAATTCTATAAAACAACACCTAGTGATGAGCTGGCTACAACAATTCCTATAAGATGTTCAATGGTAAATAGGAAAATAAATACAAGGGTTTATAGTATTATAGGAGATCATTTAATGTTTCCATTGTGTGTGTTGCTAGTCAGCTAAAGACTTTAACCCCTGTTGGAATGGAGATAATTACAGAAGCTGATGTAAAATATGCTCAGGTATCAATATGTATTCCTATGGTAATTACGTGGTAGGTTCAGAAAATAAATCCTAAGTAATCAATAGATATATAGCTCACATGATTCGTATATAACCAAAGGCTTCTTTTTTTTCCCCTGAATAATAAGTAATAATATGTGAAATAATTCCAAATCCAGGTAAAAAAGAGTATATACTTCTGGGTGTCCAAAGAATTGGAATAAATGTTCATAGAGGACTGGGTCTCCTCCTCCAGCTGGGTCAGAGAAAGTTATATTGAGGTTTTAGTTAGTGAGAAGCTCACGAATTTCTGCTTCTAGTACTGGGAGGGAACTAAATAATATTACTGCTGTAATTAGCAGTAATCCGACAAATAATGGTGTTTGCTATCAATGTAGACTTCCCTCTAAGATACCTGTTCTGAATTAAAATCGTATACTTAGCAGCATAATTCACAATAGCTAAATTATAGGATTAACCTAGATGATCTTCAGTAGATGAATGGATAGGGAAACTTTGGTATATATACACAATGGGACATTACTCAGCCTTAAAGAAGAGTGAAATTATGGCATTTGCCAGTAAACGGTTGGAGTTGGAGTTGTCATGCTAAGCAAAATAAGCCAATCCCACAAAACCAAAGGCTGAATGTTTTCTTCGATATGAGGATGCAGATACATAATGGCGATTAGGGGCGTGGGAGCATGGGAGGAATGGAGGAACTTTAGATGGGGCAAAGGGGAGGGAAGGGAAGGGAGGGTGCAAAGGGGTAAAAATGATGGTGGAATGAATTAAGACATTCCACCATCATTTAAGATCATGTAAGACATGAATGGTGTGAAAATACTTTGTGTAAAACCAGTGTAAATTGAAAAATTGTGCTCTATATTTGTAATATGAAATGAATTGCATTCTGCCATCATGTATAACAAATCAAATAAATTTTTAAAAAATGGTATACTTTCCTGGGTTGGGAATGTAGCTCAGAGCTTGCCATTAAAAGTCCTTGTGTAGCATGCATGAGGCCCTATATTTATCCCTACAAAGACAGACAAACAGATACACACACACACACAAATTTTCCTTCCTCTATAGAGTGAATAAATTAGAAAGTTAAATTATATAAAACACTTTTTTATTATTTGTTTCAGGATCACATAAAAGTAGATAGCAAAAAACAAAGATTTTAAAGACATCTTTTTGAGGCTCTGGGGAAACAAATGATCTCATAGAATAGTGATGGGAGTATAAAATAGTACAATCTTGGTAGAGAAAATCTGGTAGTAGTTACCACATTTCAAATGCATTTACACTTTAAACCAATAATCCCATTCCTAAAAATCCATCCTTTAGATATCTTTCAGTGCTATTATAGCAAAACACTGAAAACAACCCAAGGATCTAGCAAGAGGAGACAAATGAAATAGTGTATCTAACCATGGAATACTATGCAACTACAAAAACGGAGGAAATTCTCCAAGTACTCAAGTCAAGGTTCTTTAGAATAAACTATAAAGCAGAAAAATATATATATATAGAACAGTATATGCAGAGATTAATTTGGTCTAAGAAAATGGGTGAGGGGCTGGAGTGATGGCTTAGTGGTAGAGCGCTTGCCTAGCATGTGTGAGGCACTGGGTTTGATTCTCAGCACTGCATATAAGTAATTAAAAATAAAGGTTCATTGACAACTAGAAAAAAAAGAAGGTGATGTAAGAATATGTACCTTTACAAAAAGAACTACTGGAATAAATAAGAAATTAATAAAACTAGTCACTGACAGAGACAAGGTGAGGCATAGGGTGGAAGCGGACAGCAGTGGGAATAACGCTTTTCAATGTGTATCTTTTTATATTACTTTTGAACTACATGAAAGTGTTATCGATTCAGACATGAAATTTTAAAATTAGTTTAAAAATTTAAATAGTGGTAAGTATATAGAGGTAAAAGTCTGAAGAATTATTTTTTTAATTTATTTTTTAGTTGTAGTTGGACACAATACCCTCATTTTACTTTTATTTATTTATTTATATGTGGTGCTGAGGATCAAACCCAGGGCCTTGCACATGCTAGGCAAGTGCTCTACTGCTGAGCCACAACCCCAGCCCTTGAAGAATTCTTTAATCATTACATTTCCTAATTGATCCTTTCCTTAGAAAGCCTATCGATTCTCAAAAGTTAATAGCATTAATTTTAAAATGTTGTCAGAATTTTTAATTAAAAATTTTTTTTTTGTGGTACTGGGGATGGAACCCAGGCCCCTCTGCATATTATGCAGTATTTTACCACTGAGCTGCACCTCCAGCCCTTTAATTAATTAATTAATTTTTTTGAGACAGGGTCTCACAAAGTTGCCCAGGCTGGCCTAGAACCTCTTGCTTCAGCCTCCCAGGTAGCTAGGATTATAGGTGTGTTCCTCTGCATCTGGCCAGAAATGTTTTGATCAAGGTAATATATTTACTTTCCTTACCTGTAGAAAGCAATCTTGCTGCAGTCTCTGAAAACATTTTTATCCACAGCTTCTTCTTCAACACTAAATGAAAAGACATTTTAAGAAATGTATTTTACATAGTGTTTGTGAATCCAATTTTTGTACCTTCTCTAACTATAGTATGAAGATGCAAAATAAACCTTTGGAGTCTATTGTGCAATGCAAAATTGCTTCACAACAACTTCATGTAATACAATCGCATAAGTGTTGCAGAACTAATATCCTTCTGTAAAATATCCAAATTGAACAACAAAATATCAAGTTCTGGGATTATTCTGAAAGCAAAGGAAAAATGGCACTGTCACTTATGAGGAAGGGTTCTTTTAAAATTATGACTACAACAGTAAAATCTGAAAGAGCAAAGAACAAAACAAAACCCTCCAAGACAAATGAAAATTAAACAAAACAAAACAAAAGAACCCAAACACACACAAAAATAAACTGGCCGGACACAGTGGTGCATGCCTATAATCTCAGAGGCTGGGGAGGCTAAGGCAGGAGGATCATGAGTTCAAAGCCAGCCTCAGCAATTTAGTGAGGTGCTAAGCAATTCAGTGAAACCCTCTCTCTAATAAAATACAAAATAGGGCTAGGGATGTGGCTCCACTTAACCACTGTTAAGTGGTCTGGAGTTCAATCCCTGGTACCCAAAAACAAAAATTAAAAAAAAAAATCAACAACAAAAACACCTACTCACCTATTTAATCAACAAAATATTTTCAGAATATATTTAAATTTTTTTTTGTTTTAGTTGTTGATAGACCTTTATTTATTTATATGTGGTGCTGAGAATCGAACCCAGTGCCTCACAAATGCCAGGCAAGTGTGCTACTGCTGAGCCCCAGACCCAGTTCACCAAAATATATTCTTACTGGGTGTTGGGCTCTGGACAAGATAGGAAGGACAATGTCCATACTTTCTGTAAAAGCCTAACTGGGAATCACAATATAACCTGACAAATGCTCTGAGAGGTATTGCAAAGTGCTAAAATTAGAAACAATCACAGAAAGAAAATCTTTTGCTTTTTAAGATGATGATGATGATGACAATCCAGAAGTAAATGTTCTTTTTCTAAAATATCTTTATTTATTTGTTTATTTTTTTATATGATGCTGAGGATGCCACCAAGTGCCTCATGCATGTGAGGCAAGCACTCAACCACTGTTATAACCCCAGCCCCAGAAGTAAATGTTCTTTAAAACTAAATTTCCAGAAGAAACATTTCTGGAATAAAACATGAACAAGATATACAGTGCTATTTGAGTATGGGTATTTAATTTAGCCTTCATCTGATTAAAACAACTATAAAAACAAAACATTAGTTTTCATGCAGAGTGTGGCTGTATACTCTGTAGTCAGTTTGTCCATGATTTTTTTTGGACACCAACTTCAAAAAATGAAAACATATATACCCTTAGTCCTTAAATATACACTTAGTTCTACTAAAAATTTCTCTTTATCATGAAGTAATTAAATCTTTCATTAAACTCAGCTTTTGTCACTGCTTCACATTTGAAGTAGCAGCTCTGGAATGACATAGAAGGAGGGTATAAACTTAACTTGGAAAGCAACATGCTTAAAATTCATATGTTAAGAGTTATGTTGGCAACTTTTCCAGTATTAACCATCCTGTATTCAACCATCCTGAAAATATATTGAGGCTATTTACATTAGCCAATTCCCTCAAAATTGAGTAAAAATGATAAAGCACACAACCTAATATTCAAATAAGAAATGCATATATATATATATATATATATATTTTTTTTTTTTTTTTTTTTTTCAGTAAAAACTTCAAAACCAGAAGGCTGTTTTCAAGGTACTTTCAGTCCTCCCTGGGGTCAGTGCCTGCAAGAGCACTTGGTCTTTACCTGATTTCCTCTTCCCCAGCTGCCTCCATAACTTCTCTGTCAATCCAACTGGCTCTCAGCTCTCAGGCCACGGCCTAGGGCGATCTTTATAAAAAGCCAAGGAGTCGTCTTTCTAAAATTATGACCAGCACTTCACCATCGTCAAGTTTCTGGTAAATGGTGTCTCCCCCAGATTCTCAAGGAATGACAAATATTGGCTCTTGCTCCTTGGATTTTTCAAACGCAACTAGCGTTTCTACAGGTATTATCGTGGCAAAATTTTCCTGATTATGGGTGAATGATGAGGACCGTGCTTTCATTAGAAACCGAAACTGTTTGCAGTGGAGAAGGCGTGTATACAATGACTCCTAGAGGATAAAAAACAAGATCGTGAGAACCAGGAAGCACCGAGACGGCCTCCAGATTGGAGCAAAGCTGCTGCAGTTTTCTCTCAGTGGCAGTCATGCTAAAATACTGAAAACTGATGCACTCTTTTCCCTATTTTAGTTTGAAAGAGAAGTACCGGCGAGGTATTTACTGGAAGCTGATTGTCCGGCCAATCTCCTGTAGCTGAAAAAGGCTCTTTTAAAGATTTTTTTTTATTATACCATCCAGCTAGGAATCGCTTCTACTACACGAGTGCCAAATTCCAGCCTTTGCTTAAACAGGTCCCAAACGGGACAACTTGCTAAAGGACGCCTATCAGGCAACCAGAATTACCGCTTCTCCAGACTTCGGACCCCGTTGGACTTAGAAGGAATGAGGGGTTAGGGCAAGAGGGAGGAGGGGAGAGCCGAACGCTGCAGAGCAGAAGCCGGACGCCTGAGTGGCTATGGGAGATCTTCTTAATCAAACCGACCAGGTTGCCACAAGACGACGCCTGCGCAATAGGTCCAAAGTCTCACACTACATCTAGTACGACTGTCAGAGCAGTGGCCACTAGGTTGCAAAACAAACAAGCCCCAAGAGGTTTCGAGGACCCGGATGATCCCGCCCTCAGAGCAGAGCCGGAAGAGGGCGGGACAAACCGGAAGGAGGTGAAATGCTTTCAGTAGACACTCCATGGCTGTGAAGATGGCGGCAGCTGCGTGGCTTCAGGTGTTACCTGTCATTCTTTTTCTTCTGGGGCCTCAATTGTACCCATTGTCGCTTTTCGGCGTAGGGCTGGCACCCGTTTCTGCTGCCGACCGATCCAAGTGGCACGTTCCGATACCGTCGGTGAGTGTTAAAAGAGTAGCGAGCTACTGAGCCTGGAGGAGCAAGAGGTGGGGCTACGGCGGCCCAAGAGGTTCATGAAGGTTCGGAAGAAGATTGCTTCCGAAGGGGTGGGATTCCGGGAGAGTCTGTGTAGCCGGCCTGGGACCCACCTCCCTGGAGCGGAAAGCTGTTCTTGGTGGAATGGCTAGGTAGAAAGTCAGGGATACTTAAGCTGCGCAAAGGAGTAGTAGAACGGGTTCTCATTAGAAAGTAACAACTTTCAGTGCCTGACTTGAGAGAGATTTAAACTTGATATCAGATAGTGTTTTATTTTTCAGCTGAAGTTTTACAGAGTACAGTGAGCCCAAGTTAGGAGGGATGTGTAAAAAGACGTCTTCGTTTCTTTTTACCTCTGCACTCTTTTTTTTTTTTTTTTTCTGGGTAATTCTGCTTTCAAAATGGTTAGATTTTATTTTCACTTTAAATTGGTTATTCTAAGTTTTTCTAAGGTTAAGAATCCTTGGTATTTAAAAATCTATTTTCAACATCGGAATGACTAAAAATGAAAGAAAGAATTCTAAAATATAATTTGGTAAGGCTAATTTTTTAAATTTGGTCAATTAACTAGATAAATAGACTTTATCTGTTCCACCCACTTTTTAAAACTTCATTTTGTCCTTCATAGGACATAAACTAGATGCAGGCACGAAGTTCTAAAAAAAAAAAAAAAAAAAAAAAAAGCATTAACTGTGTGAAAACCACGTTGGCTTTTTTGTTTCATTTTGCTGCGCTCGCCCACTGTAAATTTATACAGCATACATTATAGTTTATATTCATTTGGTGAAGAACTTGTTCTCAATTTTAGGGTTTTCCTGGTTCTTTAATGATGAATAGTTAAGTTTTAGATTTAAACATAAGAGTGATTATTTGAGGCGGGACAACCGACAATGACACCTAACCTCTATTGGTTCTTCTCGGCATTGATCAGTGAGTGAAGGAAATGAGTTGATTATTGAGGGGTAAGACAAATGAAGATTTAGGTTGAGCTTCCTAGTAGCCTCCCTTCTAAATTCCTTGCTTTGTGGCCTGTGGGGAAAAATTGTGCACTTTGTGATCAAATTTCACTAAAAGGAGAGACGTTACTATTTTTTAGTTAAGAAAACTAACTTGGGGGGAAAAGCTAATTTTAATATTTTATACTTTTAAGTAGCTATATTCTGTTGTGGGAATTGAAGTGATCTGATGCTAAATTTTCTTTTTTTTTTTTTAAACTTTGCAGGGGAAAAATTATTTTAGTTTTGGAAAGATCCTTTTCAGAAATACCACTATCTTCCTGAAATGTGAGTTTTTGAATTTCATGAATTTTCTTGAGTTTTTGAAGTTATAAGTGAAATTTCTAAGTTACCTATTTTCCACTTCTGATCATCTATTTGCAATGTATTTTTAAGTTCAAAACTTTGGTAGTCCAACACTATATAGGTATAAACATTTGGTATAACTAAGGTCCTTTCATTAAATACTATTCAGAATACTTGTGTGAACTTTATTTTCTTCCCTTATTTTTCAGTTTATTATACATGAATATACACTATATGTTATATACAATAATACTTATTATATGTCATATACTCATTTATACTACATTAAATTTGTGTTGAATAAATAGTCTGCATATGTATAAATAGTTATGCATTACATATATAACATTCAGTCATCTCAGTTGAATTATATGTAATTATGTCGGTTGATTGCATAGGTTTTTAATCTGTTCTGAGTCATAGAGATATCAGTAATTTTACACTTGTATGCTGATTAGATGTTTACTGAAAACATGACCTAGGTTTGTCAGACCATTGCTCAGAACAAATGTGTTCAATAGATCTTTTATTTACCAAAGGAGTATTTTACCACCTTGAGGAAGATGAAGTTTAGATATATTACCAGGAAATAGGGATTATGTAGAACAAAACCAGTTTGTCTAGTGGGACAACCACTGTATCTGAATCTAAACTATTCCATTGTGTATTAAAGAAAAGCTTCCTTTTAGTTCTGAAACGGGCTTTATTTAAGAGAATAAATGGTCATGGGAAGCTCAGTTTCAAGATGAGGGATGAAATCCAGATGATTGCTGTACAATTCTTTTTTCTTTATTTTAAACTGGGAATTAAACCCAGGAGTGCTTTAGCACTGAACTACAATCCCAGGCATTTTCATTTTTTAATATTGATTCAGGGGCTCACTATGTGGCTGAGGTTCGCCTCAAACTTGAAATCCTGTCTCAGCCTCCTGAGTTGCTGGGATTACTGGTTAATAGGTTCACTACGTATTTTTAACAGACTAATGTGTATTTCTAAACATACCTTCCTCTAGAAAGTGCAAAGTTTAAAGGTGTAATTAGATGATTTTATTCTTTTAATTGTTTAGTAAATAGTTGTTAAATACTTATTATGTACTGGGTACTCTTTTATTTTTTTGTGGTAATATGGATTGAACCTAAGGGCACTCTATTACTGAGTATCACCTGTAGTCCTGTTTATTTATTTCGGTACTGGGGATTAAACTCGGGCACTCAACCACTGAGCCACATCCCCAGTCCTATTTTGTATTTTATTTAGAGACAGGGTCTCACTGAGTTACTTAGCACCTTGCTATTGCTAAGACTGACTGCGAACTTGTAATCCTTCTGCCTCAGCCTCCTGAGCTATTGGGATTACAGGAGTATGCCACTACGTATTTTTTGAGATAGGGTCTTATTTGGTTGCCGAAGCTGGCCTCGAACTTGCAGTCCACCTGAGTAGCTGGAATTATAGCTGCCCACTCTCCTGGCCTGGATACTCTTTTAGACAGTAGTATTTTTCTCACCTGCATTTTGATCTATATTTTAAAGTTTTTTGGAGGATTTGAGGCTCCTTAAAAATTTTCTGTTACTTCTGTGTACCAATTGGCTGTGATTTTATGTTTTTGTGCGTATGGTATATGGTCTTTTTTTTTCTTTTTGTTGTAGATGGACACAATACTTTTATTTTTTTTAAATTTGTTTTTATGTCGAACTGAGGATCGAACCCAATGCCTCATATGTGCGAGGCAGGCGCTCTAACACTGAGCCACAACCCCAGCCTGGTGTATGGTCTTTGATGGCATAGATGCGACCATTTTCATCATCTCTATTCAGGTCTTCCATTCAGAGTTCTAAACTTTGTCTTATTATTATTTTTTTAACATAAACAGCAATATTTTTGCAGCTTAGTTCCCTTGCATTCTTTTTTAGGGGATGTTTTCTTACTGACTTAATTTATTAATCCTAGCTCTAGAGGTGTTCTTCTGAATAGTTCATAGCTAGATTATAGTATCCTTTATATCATTTCCATAAATTATACTCAACAAATTGAAGTTTTGCATATTCTAGCACTGCCCTATGAAAATGTGTGGTTGTTTAAAAATTAATCTGAGAAAACAATTTAAAATAAACAAACAAAAAGGAGGAGCTTATAATTAGGTTGCTTCTTTTGTTGTGAACCAGAGGTAGATTCCTGAATGCAGTCATGATTGTCACATTTGTGTAAAGCAGGGAATCTTTAGTGTATTGTCCTTTTCCAGTGCTTTTCCAGATAAAAGGGAATGCTGACTTCTCCCAGGTGAGACAGCTAATCAGTCATATAGTTAGATTTACATTCCCAAATTTTCAGAATAGTGCCTTGATCTGTTAAAATAGTGTGTCCAAACTTCGAATTATATGAAGTTTCCATGATTTCATGAGGCCTAGGGTGAGCTTTGAAAAAAAAAATCTAATACTGTCTTTTCAACCTTTCCCAGCCATGCTTGCTTTTTTGTTTATTGCTCTTTGTGTCCATCATTGATGTCTTTCAAGGTCTAAGCCAGGAATTTTTCCTTCAGTGGAACTATTATTTAAACCACAATTAACAATTGTGAATGTGACATTTTTCATGTTATTCTGTCTCTCTTCAACTAGAGTATAGCCTCTTTAAGTATCTTTAGTAATTCTTTCCTGTCTGTTTTTTTCTTTGACCTAATGCTGTGCTATGCTGTGCTGTTGTACCTTTGTAAACTCTGTTCAATAAATATTTGATTACTAGAAGACTGGTTTTAACTTGGAACTGTTTTTATCACTCCCAAATTTTCCCAGTAGAGATCTAGAAATCGAGGTTTTTAAGGTATAGAAATAGATTCACAGTCAAAAGAATAAAAAATTACTTAATTATTATCCCTTTCTGAAAATAACTATATTTTATCTAAAGAATATTCAGTTCTTTTTGCATATGTTAACCCATTTCCTTATGTTAGGAGAAGGGATGATCTCTCAGTATTTAAGTAGAGGGTAGATAATAATTAGAATATTATAGGGAAATGCTTTTTGGAAAAATGCTTCACTTGAGAATCATCTTTTGTTTATAATTATTTCTTTATAGTTGATGGAGAACCTTGTGATTTGTCTTTGAACATTACCTGGTTCCTGAAAAGTGCTGATTGTTACAATGAAATTTACAATTTCAAGGTAAGGAACATAAAATTATAGATTTTTCTTGGACTCTAGAAAGGTCATCTGGTCCCAAACTCTTAATTTTATAGAGGAGAGAATATCATGTAGTTGTGGAGGAGTAGAGCTGTAACTAAAATCCATTGTTCTCAATTTACAGATCTGCTATATTAGCAATTCTCAGACTTTTTTTTTTGTGGTGCTGGGAATTAAAACCCAGGGCGTTGTGCATGTAAGACAAGCACTCTGCCAACTGAGTTATATCCCCAGCCTCAAGTTCTCAGACTTTTTGATCTTAGAGCTCTTTTTATTTTTTTCTTTAAATATTTTTTTAGTTGTTGATGGACATTATTTTTATTTTTATGTGGTGCTGAGGATTGAACCCAGTGCCTCACGCATGCTAGCAAGCACGCTACCACTGAGCTACAACCTCAGCCCCTTGATCTTGGAACTCTTAACATTCTTTTGTCACTTTTTTTTTTTTGGTAGTGGGAATTGAATTCAGGGACACTTTACCACTGAGCTACATCCTTAGTCCTTTTTTATATTTTTTAATTTTTGAGGTAGATTCTTGCTAAGTTGCTGAGGCTGGCCTTCAATTTGTGGTCTTCCTGTCTCAGCCTCCTTAAGTCTCTGGGATTACAGGCCTGTGCCACCATGCCTGACAGAACTCTTAGCATTCTTAAAATTGTGGATACCAAAAGCCTTTTGTTCACATTGATTTCTCTTTTGGAAATTAAAACGGAGGAAATATATTTAGTAAGTTATTATTAAACATGTAACTTTTTACGTGTTAGTATAAATAACATTTTTAACGAAAACAACTATTTTTCAAAAAGCATAGAAGGTTAACATTATTTTACGTTCTTATAGATCTCTCTTTCTGCCCATTCTCCATCTTTTCCCCCACCCCACTAGGGATTGAACCCTCACCCTACCACTGAGCTACATCCCCAGTCCTTTTAATTTTTAATTTTGAGACAGCGTTATGATAAGTTGCTAAGGCTAGCTTCAAACTTATGATTCTCTTGCCTCAGTCTCCCGTACTGCTGGTACATGTGTGTCACCATGTCTGACTTGTAGATCTTTTTAATTAAAATCTGTCAGAACAGAAGACTGCTAGATTCCTAAATCTCATTTTTTAACCTATTTGATATATTATTTTAGGTTGAAGTATATGTTGAAAATCTAACCTCATACATATACATAGTTGGAAAAAGAACTGGTATATGAGTAATCTTTTAAATAATTAGGAATATTTCTGTTTCTGTACCAAAACTATAAAAGGGTTTAAGATTTTTATTTATTTTTTATCAGTGGAGTTTTTTAAAGATCGATTGAAATGTGGAATCTGAAATCATATTAGTGAATTTTTTTGTGTCCTGTAGTATGAAATGCTTGAATGGATCTTTTTTTTCTTTTTAATATTTCTTTTTTTAGATATAGATGAACACAACACAGTGGCTTTATTTTTATGTGGTGCTGAGGATCGAACCCAAGTCCCGCCTGTGCTTGGCGAGCGCTCTACGCTGAGCCACAATCCCAGCCCCTTGAATGGATCTTTTACCCATGCATGATTTTAATATCATTCATTGATCATTTAGAAAATATTGTTGATGGAATTATATAAATCTTTAAAATATTAACTCATTGTATATTTAACTCTAAATTTCACTGTTAATAACTCTCATTTCTATTTTCATACCCATCTTAATCAGTAGTTCTATAATATTATCAATAATATTATCAATTTCTTCCTTGAAGTTATAGTCCTTAGCATTCTTAAAATTATCGTGGATACCAAAAGCCTTTGTGCACACTGGTTTCTCTTTTAGAAATTAAAACTGAGGAAATATATTTAGTAAGTTATTTTAAAGTGGCACCTTGTAACATGTTACTATAAATAATATTTTTAATGAAAATAACTAGTTTTCAAGAAGCATAGAGGGTTAACTTTATTTTGCATTCTTGTAGATCTCTCTTTTCTTTCCATCCATTCTCTGTCCGTTCCCCCACCCCACTAGGGATTGTACCCTTACCATACCACTGAGGTACATCCCTAGTCCTTTTAATTTTTGATTTTTTATCTTAAGACAGGTTTGAGACAGATATCTAGGAGAATATTTCCCAAATCACCAAGTCTGAATAACCATAGTTTGTCAGTCATTTTTTCAAGTTAAAAAAAGTTATGTTTTGCTCACATGACAAAACAATTACACAATGCTTTTTTCAAGATATTCATTTATCATATTTTGCATACTTTCCATTTTGTTACTTAAGTGATTAAAAAAGGCATGTACTCACAGACCCAGACTTGTTTTTATTAATAATCCTTTGTTGTGAGGGTGGTGGTAGTGGGGATTGAACCTAGGGCCTCAGGCATGCTCAGCAAATGCTCTGCAACTGTGCTACATCCCTAGCCTTTTTAAATTTTTATTTTGACATAGGGTCTTGCTAAGTTGTTCAGGCTGGCCTCCCAACAGATGTGCCCTACCATGTCTGGCATAAAATTAATAATTTTAAAAGTTTTACTGTGTGTCAAGGACATTCTTACATCTTAGATTTTTTTTTTTTTTTTTTTTGTAACTTGAGTTTATGACTGTGAAGAATGGAACTGCTAGTACAGTTTCATGCCACTGTTTTGGTTCTTGATAAGTGGCAACAATTTATTCACCATTGTTTTTGTACCAGGAGTGCATAGCAAAAAGAATTTGATTTCTTAGACCTTCTGAAAGGGGTTATGGACCATTCTTTTTAGAATTGCCATGGTACTGCCCCGCCAGTGGAGGGGCCGGGCCCTGGGCAGAATGTTTTCTCTGATATAAGGAGGCTGATTCATAGTGGGGTAGGGAGGGGGAGCATGGGGGAATACATGAACTCTAGATAGGGCAGAGGGGTGGGAAGGGAAGGGAGGGGGCATGGGGTTAGAATTGGTGGTAAAGGGCTGGGGATGTGGCTCAAGCTGTAGCGCGCTCGCCTGGCATGTGTGGCCCGGGTTCGATCCTCAGCACCACATACCAACAAAGATGTTGTGTCCGCCAAGAACTAAAAAATAAATATTAAAAAAAAAAAAAAAAAGAATTGGTGGTAAAATGTGGTGGTGGAATGTGATGGATATTATTATCCAAAGTACATTTATGAAGACACGAATTGGTGTGAATATACTTTGTATACAACCAGAGATATGAAAAATGGTGCTCTGTATTTGTAATAAGAATTGTAATGCATTCTGCTGCATATATAAATTTAAAAAATTAATTTAAAAATAAATAAAATTTATAAGTTATAAAAAAGAATTGCCAGGGTACATGATATTTGAGCATTAAAGATACCTTTCTCTAAGATGGATTTTTCAAGCCTTTTCCATTCTGTTTCTAGCCCACGATTTGCAATTTGCACCTTATTTCTTTTTTTCCCCCCTAAAATTTTTCTATTCTTGAAGTTTCTTTACAAAGATAACATGGTCTTTAAAAAGTGCCCACCATCCAGGTAGTTTTTCAAAACATAAGCATTTTAAATCTCTGCTTGATACTGAAGTTTTATATGATCTTTTATGCAGCAGTGGTACTTGTGTTTTGTTTTTGTTATATAACATTGGGTGAGATTGACTATGACAGAAAGGAATGAAAGGTGTGAAGAATTTAAGAGAGAATTTGTAACATTTCAGAATATAGTTTGAATTATCAGTGATACTTTTCTCTTGCTTGATTACTAATTGAATTTTCAGTAAAAGGCTCAGACATTTGAAACTTGTATAAAGTGGTTAAGAGCTTAGCAGATTGTCTTCATAGGAAATGCAAGTATCAAGTATTTTGGATTGCTATAAGATGAAAATATGAAGATGATAAAACAAAAGGTTGGAGGTTTGGTATTGGAGCTTTTTCTAATGAAGGCAACATCAGAGATGTGGATATTGGAGAAAAATCACAGAACTAATAGGTCACAAAGATAGAAGTTGGAGAGTATCAGCAATAGCTGTGAGGAAGTGTATATCTTTTTATTAATGTTAAATTGGTCAGTGACTCTTTCAAATGTATTTTCATGTGACAGAAACTCTGAACTCTGACAGTTTCCCTCAGATTTCCTAGAGAACTATCTTTTGTGAGCCAAAGACAAGAATTCAGCCCTTCAGAGTTTCTTAACATTAGATTCCTGGATACTGTTTTATGGTCTTTGCTTGATGCTATTAATTTTTAAAATAGCAAACTAAAAACTTGTACCACAAATTTGATCTATTTGTTATCCTCTGAATATCTTGTATGTGATAGGAAAATTAAATACTTTGTATCAAATTCTTTTTACTATGCACTCCTGGTACAAAAACAATGGTGAATAAATTGTTGCCACTTATCAAGAACCAAAACAGTGGCATGAAACTGTATCTTTGTATTTATTTGTGTAAATACTTTGTATCTCCCCTTTTCCAGGCAGAAGAAGTAGAGACATATTTGGAAAAACTTAAGGAAAAAAGAGGCTTGTCTGGGAAATACCAGACATCATCAAAATTATTCCAGAACTGCAGCGAACTCTTTAAAACACAGGTAATCTTAAAAAGGGATATAGAAGAGTGGATAATGTAATTCTATATGTATTTAACATAATCAGTTCCCCCTACAATTCTTTTTTTTTTTTTTTAATTTTTTTTAGTTGTAGATGGACACAATATCTTTATCTTTATTTGCTTATTTTTATATGGTGCTAGGGATAGAACCCAGGGCCTCATGCATGCAAGGCAAGAGCTGTACCACTGAGCTACAACCCCAGCCCTACAATTATTTCTTGTAGGTGAAATAATTTGGAAGCTTGTTTTGATAGGTGCATAGTCAACCACTTATATATTCATCTCATTAAAGAGAGGATATACTTTGTATGTAAAAAGCAGACTTTTTTTTTTTATTGTGGAAGATATATATTGTCATTTTAACCTTGTAAGTACAATTCAGTGACTTTAACTATCACCACTGTCTATCTCCAGAACTTTCATCATCCCAAATGAAACTCATACCCATTAAACAGTCACTGCCCTCCACTCCTAGTCCCTAGTAACTTTCTGTCTCTATGATTTGACTGTCCTAGATGCCTCTTAAGTAATGTCATATACTTTTTGTTCTGGATTCTTTTACTTCACATGTTGCCAAGGTTCATCTGTGTTGTATCATGTATCAGAATTTTATTCCCTTTTAAGACTGATTTATATTCCCTTGTTAGTATATTTCACATTTGTTCATTCATCTGTTGATGGGCATTTAATGCCTCAAAAAGAAATTATTATTATTTTTACAATCCTTCTGATCAAACCCAGCATCTTGTGCATGCTAGACAAGCATTCTACCACTGAGCTACATCTTCAACCCTTAACACCTCAAATTTTTAATTCTCTTGCCTCATCTAATTACTAGGTTCCCAGAAAAATCAGTTTGTTTTTTTTTAATGTTTTACTACTATAGATCTGAAGTCAAAAGGATGTCACTGCCTTAAAGTGGAGTTTTATACCTTATTTTAGAGAAAGAAGAGATGATTAGTATATATAAGTTTTGATGCTATAAATATTTATATTATGTAAGTGTGGTTTCTAAAGTGAAATTCTATTTACTTAGAAATAGAATCATAGATATTGAAAATAGTTATTTTGATAGTCTTTACTGATTTAAAAATTGCTTTGGAGGGGTTGAGGATGTATCTCAGTGGTAGATCACTTGCCTATCATGTGTAAGGACTTTGATTCAATCCCCACCAAACCCTTGAAAAAATATTGAAAAAGTTGTTTGGGAATATTTTCCAAATTGCCATGAAATGGCAGGGAGTTCCCTGAAAGTTAGGTATTCTATCCAGTCTCTAGAGGTAAAGTTTATTTATAATATTTGTTTTTGTTTGGTACTGGGGATTGAACCCAGGGGCTCTCTGCCACTGAGCTATACTCCCAGACCTTCTTATGTTTTATTTGGAGACAGAGTCTTATTAAATTGTCAAGGCTGACCTCAAATATGCAGTCATCCCACCTTAGCCTTTGTATCTGGGATTACAGGTGTGTGTCACCACACTGGCCTATTTATAAGATTTTAATTAAGAATTGCTAATTGATAAGCAAATGAAGTAATTGATTATTGAATTATTAGAGTTCAGTTCTTGTTATAGTTTAGATTTTTGGCAGGGAGGTGTATTGGGGATTGAACTTGAGCTCTGAGCCACATCCCCAGCCCTGTTTTGTATTTTATTTAGAAAGAGGGTATCACTGAGTTGCTTAGATATTGCCTTGCTGAGGCTGGCTTTGAACTCGCTTTCTTCTTGTTTCAGCCTTCCCAGCTACTCGGATTACAGGCGTGTGCCACTGCGCCCAGCCATAGCATAGATTTTATGGACTTGAAAAGGAAATAGCTTTTAAATGGAAGAGAAAAGGTTAAAAAAAAAAAAAAAAAGGAAGCCAGAAATGATGTTGAGTCATTTGTATGTTTTCTGTTTTTCTCCAAATTTATCTCCAAGCTAAGAGGATTGGTTGGTCTTTCTTAGATTTGATTATGGAAAGCTATGTGTTGAGTCCTAGTACTTGAGGTTCCCTACTTTTAAATCTGATATACTCTTTCCAGATTCATGTACACATTTTGGTAAGATTTTCTCTTCTCCAGTCTAATGTAAGAATTGAATTACATAATCTAACTACTCAGGAAGGAAAATGCCTCATCTACCAATAACTGGTAAGATGGGCAATTAGTGTAGTCTTTTGTACAACCATTGAGTGTTCTGTGGTAGAAGAAATAGTGGACTTGAGAGTCAGGAATTTAGGTTGAAATCCTATTTATTTATAGCTTTTATACTTTTTAAATCTTATTTTCCTCATCTGTACAACAAGAGACAATTTTGTGAGATCTGCCATCCTCTGCAGATACCCTGTATCTTAAGGTTTTGTCATTCTTAAACATTTGTTATCCTTACAGAGAAATTGACAATTTAGTTTGTTATTATTTTTCAGTTTTCGGCAGGGTTTTTTAAGAAATTTTTGACTGTGGATACTCTATTATAGTTTTTATTATGTTTCCTTTAACTGTTTCTGAGTATTTTAAAGCACACTTTCCTTTTACTATTTATATATCTTTAATTTGTGTTTCTTTTGATAGAGTTTTTCTGGGGAGTTTTTGCATCGGCTACCTCTTTTAGGAGAAAAACAGGAGGTAATTGTTTTCCTTATGTATTTTTATTTCTTTATGTCTTTTATATATCTGAGAGTAAAGTAAAAATTCTGAATTAATTTTCTTTTCTTTTTTGTGATATTTATAGGCTAAGGATAATGGAACAAATCTTACCTTTATTGGAGACAGAACTGTAAGTCTATTTGGGTATTTGGGGCATTTGACCATATTTTAATTTATGTTCATACATATTTTAATTGTTCTCTCAGTATGCTAAACACCGGTAATGGTTGCCTCTGGGTAATATTACCAGCTTTTTACTTTATCTTTTGCGTTTTGTGTATTTCCATACAGATCTGTACTGCTTTCTTAATTATTCCTCCCTTCAATAAGTATTTGTTAACAGGAAACAACTTTTTCAAAAGGACTTTAAATTCCATCTAAAATTATCAATGCTAGAATATAATTGGAATAAAGTTTGGAAAATTAAAAGGCTAAAAGTTATATATGTGCTTTAAATTTTCAAAAATACACCTTGTATTGAGGCTTATTTTGCTTTCTAATTTATAATAACTAATTCTTCACAAAATTTTCAGTTAAAAATATAGAGGAAGTAAAATAGTTATTCATGTTTAGTCATTTTTTTTTTACAAAGCTGATTAATTTTATAACAACTTAAGATATAATAGCACAAAACTTTTAAAGTTTTTAATGGTTTTTAGTGTATTCACAAGTTGTATAACCACCAACCACTAATTTTAAAATTCTTTATCATGCTGAAAAATAACCTGGTAGCCATTATCAGTTATTTTCCATTTTTCATTCTCCAGTCTCTTGCAATCACTAATCCACATTCTGTCTCTGTAGGTTTGTCTCTTCTTGATATTTTATATAATGGAATCATACAATACATGACCTGGTGTCTGGCTTCCTTTTACAGTTTACAACTCTGTCTTAACCTTTACTTGATTCCTGCGCAGAACCTTATGATCTGCCAGAGATGAATGATTAGAACTTTCTCAGGTTTCCCCTGACCTGTGCATAGCTATGGGCATGTGTGCACTGCCCTACACATTTGCTGGAATTTTTCAAAGTTCCTATGGGGCATCTCATTCTTGACTTTTTCCTCTTCAGTTTTTGTTCTGCTTCTTGATAGCTCCATCTCCTAATGTTGCATAGGCGGCTATGATCTTTAATTATTGTTGCTAAGTGTTTTTGACAAATGCTCTGAGTATGGGATTTTCATGTTGAGTAATCCCTGAGGTCAAATGTAGAGAAGCCCTGAGATTGGAGGTTTTCAGCAACCTGCTAGTCAGCTCAGGTGATTGGTCTTTAGGGATCTCCAAATCTGTTTTCCTTTTTCCTGTGGCATCAAACTGCTGTTTTTCAAAGCCATCACCAGTTTCAAGGACATTGGTTTCACGAGCTTGGAAGAAAAGAATGAAATTAGGGTAAACAAAAACTTTATGAGCTTGTTTATCTTACTGAGGTTTCAGCTATTTTTCTTGAAACAGTTCTTGGATTATTGTGAGTCTTTAATTTCTGAAGTTCCAAAAAAGTTAATTTTTATATAGTTTTTGTCAGTGTTATCATTACTTTTGTGGATGACTGGATTTTCAGAAGTTCTTATTTGGCCATTCTGCAAGTGTCCTTGAAACCTCCATTCCAATTTTATTGTACAAAAGTTTAAAGTGAAAATGGGGTAGGCATGACAGTGTTCATTACTTTTTTTTAATATTTATTTTTTAGAAGTAGTTGGACACATACCTTTGTTTTATTTAATTTTTTTTTATGTGGTGCTGAGGATGGAACCCAGGGCCTTGTATATGCTAGATGAGCGCTCTACCACTGAGCCACAACCCTAGCCCTCATTAATTTTTTTTTTAAACAGAAGTTGACTATTGTCTTTTTTTTAATTATTATTACTAATATGGATGAATTCACTGTCCAAATTTAGAAAATGTGCATAAGCAAAAAGAAGAAAATAATCACCTGTAATGTTGCCACACAGATATATATAAATATATTTATCTTCTATGTGCATTTTATATTTATTTTAGAAAGGGAATCTTACAGTGTGTGTTATGGCAACTTTTTAAAAAAAAGATTGATTTTTACATTTTTAAAGATTTTATGTATTTATTTTTATGTGGTGCTGAGAATTGAACCAAGTGCCTCACACATGCTAGGCAAGTGCTCTGCCACTGAGCCATAATCCCAGCCCAGCAACCTGTTTTTTAACTTAGCATACTTAACTTTAATGTGTATAATGTGGACATCTTTCCAGTTCAATAAATGTTGTGTTGTGTCATTACTTAAATACCTGCATAGTATCTTACTTATATCTTACTGTACCCATTTGTTTTTATTATTTTGTAGTTTTAAGTAGTGTTGTGAATTTTGTCACAACATTTGTCTCTAGATCTCTATTTTCTGACTTCAGAGGAATTCTATATTAATTAAAGGTTTTGATTTGATTTAAAAGATAAAATTCATTATTATGAATACAAACAATAATAATGTTGGTGAGGATGTGGGGAAAAAGGTACACTCATACACTGCTGGTGGGACTGCAAATTGGTGCAGCCAATATGGAAAGCAGTATGGAGATTTCTTGGAAAATTGGGAATGGAACCACCATTTGACCCAGCTATTCCTCTCCTCTGTTTACCTATACCCAAAGGACTTAAAAACAGCATACTATAGGGACATAGGCACATCGATGTTTATAGCAGCACAATTCACATAGCTAAACTGTGAAACCAACCTAGATGCCCTTCAATAGATGAATGGATAAAGAAAATGTGGCATATATACACAATGGAATATTACTCAGCAATAAAAGAGAATAAAATCATGGATGAAATTAGAGAAGACAATGCTAAATGAAGTTAGCCAATCCCAAAAAACCAAGTGCCGAATGTTTTCTCTGGTGTAAGGAGGCTGATTCATAGTGGGGTAGGGAGCGGGAGCATGGGAGAAATAGAGGAATTCTAGATATTTATTTTTATGTGGTACAGAGGTATGTGAAGGAAGGGAGGGGGCGTGGGGTTAGAAATGATGGTGGAATGTGATGGACATTATTATCCAAAATACACGTATGAAGACTCGAATTGGTATGAGTATACTTTGTATATAACCAGAGATGAAAAATTGTGCTCTATAAGTGTAATAAGAATTCTAATGCAKTCCGCTGTCAAATATAAATAAAAAAGTTAATTAAAAAATTAAAATTAAACTAAAAATTTTAAAAAAGTTAAAATTCTTTCCAAAAGAATTTCTTTCCCTAGCAGCTAATTTTATTTTCTAGCAGTTTTAGCCATTTGGTGTGATTGCACAGAGTACATGTATATTAACCAAAATAAGATCATTTTACATATGCCTTGTTTTTTTTTCTTTTTTGCAAAAAGGAGGTTGAACCCAGGGCAAGTGCTCTACCACTGAGCTATTTCCCCAGCTCCATAGATGCTCCTGTTTAATGTTTTTTTTTTTTTTCCCTCACTGCTAAATTGGTACATTTAATACTGTCTCACCTTTTTGTGACTGCATAGTATTCCATTCACCACAGTTTTAACAGTTAACTTAATCCATAATATTGGGTTGTTTTCCAGATTTTTACTGTTTTGATAGGGTCGTATCCATAATGTCTAGGTATGTCTTTGTGCATATTTGTATTACTTTCTTTCATCTTAATTCCTAGAAGTGGAATTGCTGAGTCTAAGTATTCATTTTCTATGTTTTTTCAAAGTACTCTGTAGAGAAGTTTTAGCAGTTTATCATCCTAAGAATGTAAGTTTGTTTTCCCTGCTTGTTCACAAACAATGGCTGTTATTATTCAACACAGATTTTAGGTAGTTTGTTTAGATACAGTGACAATTTATTACTATAAATTGTTTTTAAAAATATTTTTTAGTTGTAGGTGGACACAATACCCTTTGTTTACTTAGTTTTTTTAAGTGATGCTGGGGATCGAACCCAATGTCTAACATGTTCTAGACAAGCATTCTACCATTGAGCCACAACCCCAGCCCTATTACTATAAATTGTATTGAAAAAATTATTCTTGAAGATGAACACTTATGTGCATGTTGGCTGTTTGTAATTGTGTTTTATTCAGTTTCTTCTGTGAGTATCACACTTTGAATTCTCTTCAAGGCTTGAACCCTGTTCCTAGTGAAAAAAAACCTGGCTGAAAGATGACCCTATTGAATATTACAAGTAATCTTATGAAATACTTAGATTATAATTAAAAGAAGTAAAAAAAAAATCTGTGCTTTTATCTTCCTGAAAATTTGGGTCTAAAGTGAATACTTTTAATCCTATTTAAAGGGTACTCAGAAATTCAGTACCTCCATCCTGTTTTATTAAAGTTCTCATGAAGCATGCATTTGTAGAGGAAATGTCCTTTCCATGTCTCTTCTGTTAAGAAAGGATTGATAAAAGGAATGTTTTCAATATTTTGATTGGTTTTTAAATTTAAGCAATAATGTGATGTTTGTTATTGTGATTTTTAACAAATTAATAGACTTTATTAGTTTTAGGTTTACTAAAATATCCAGCAAAAGATACAAGTAGTTTCCATGCCCCACTCTGTGCCTGCATATTCAGCCTCCTTCACCATCAATGTACTGTAACATTGTAGTACAGTTGGTATAATTGATAATCCAGCATCCACACATCAGCAGCCAGTGTCCATAGTTTTCATTAGGGTTCACTGTTAGTGTTTTATATTTTGGGTTCTGACAAATGTATAATGACATTTCCACCATAATACTATCATACAGAATAGCTTCAGCCTTCTGAAAAGCCTCTGTCCTCCTCCTGTTCATCTCTCCCTCTTTCCTAACTCATGGTAATTACTGATCTATTTCCCTAGTTTAACCTTTTCCAGAACATCATATGGTTGGAATCATACAAATATGTAGCCTTTTCAGATTTGCTTCTTGCTTTTAGTAATATTTATCTAAGATTCCCCTGGGTGGTCTGTTTAGTCCTAAATAGTATTCTGTTGTCTGGATGTATCACAGGTTTCTTCATTTGGCTGTTGAAGGACATCTGATTGCTTCCAAATTTTACCAGTTATGAATAAGCTCCTGTAAACGCTTGTGTACATGTTTTTGTGTGGGCATAAAGTTTTAATTGTATTTAGGTGAATGCCAATGGGTGCACTTGCTAATTTTATGATAAAAGTATATTTTGTTTGAAATCATTATAATTCCACCAGTGCTTTATTACAAACAGAATGTATTGGAAATAAAACCACCCTTGTAGTGTGCCTTTCTCCCAGCAATGATAACTGGAATCCCACATGCAGCTTTAATTATCTTACCTTACTGATGGTTGTAGAAAAGTTCTGCTGAAGCCAGATGCAGTGGTGCAAACCTGTAATCCCAGCAATTTATTTGGTAGAAGGAGGCTAATAGATTACAAGTTTGAAGTCAGCCTCAGCAATTTAACAAGACTCTGCTTCAGAATTAAAAGTAAAAAGGACTGGGGATGTAGCTCAGCAGCACTCTTGGGTTCAATCCCCAGTACCAGAAAAAGAAAAAGAACCTATTGTTGAAAGCTTGTTATAGTGTTGAGGCACTATCATGAAGGCACTGTTTTTAAGACCGATCTTTTAAGGTGGAGGAGATAATTGGTAATTGAGTTGGTATGATAAAAGACAAGCTCTGGGGTCAGATGTCCTAGATTTCAAAATTCTCCTTCATGATTAATACGTTGACTTAGGATGGATAGTTATTCTCTTGTGTGCCTCTGTTTTGTGCACAGTAAAATGGAGCTCATAAGAATGATGTCATTGAGGTTACCAAGTAGGGGTGTTTAGGTTTCCACTCTTCCACCAAAACAACTATTACGCTGGTGAAAAATTTCACACACCAACTTTCACAGAACTTTTTTTAAGTTCAAAAATTAAAAATAACTAAGAGAAGCTTAATAGGGGAAAGAAGCTGCCACTTTGTCCAGTAGACAAAAGACTTTAAATGAACTGTCTTACATATTTTCAGACAACTAAAAGAAACCAGGAGGACACAGAGATAAAACAAAAAATATATTAAAAAAATAAGAAATGTAAAGTTGAAAAGTACATTAAAGGAAATGAAAAATTGTCTAGAGCAGGCAGAAGAGAGAATGAACTTGAAGATAGGACATTGAAATTGTCCATCAGAGGAGCAGAAAGAAAAGAATGAAAACAAGTGAACAGAGCTTAGAAGACCTGTGGAACACCATCAAGTATACCAACATACACATAATGAGAATATGAGAAGGAGAAAAGAGAAAGATATGAGAAGACTAGTTGAAGAAATAATAGCCAAATTTGATGAAGGCTTGAATTTCAAAAAGATTGAGAACCATCTCAAACTTGAACTCCAAGCAGGAATGAAAAACAGTTTTTTATGTCCATGAAATATCATTCATCCATAAAAATGAATGAAATACTTAAACATGTTTCAACAGAGATGGACCTTAAACAAGTGTGTTAAATGAAAGAAGTCAGCTCAAAAGGACAAATAATGTGATTCATTCCATATATGAAATGTCCATAACAGAGGAATCTATAGAGACAGGAAATAGACCAGTAGTTTTAAGTGGTAGGGAGAAGAAGAGATGGAATGTTATTGATTAATGAATAAAGATTTCCTCTTGGGATGTTGAATATGTTGTAGAACTCGGTGGGGGTGATGTTTGTGCAATATCGTGCATGTACCACATTACATGTGAATTATACATAATAAAATTGTTAAAATTATGACGTGGAATTTACCTCAATTAAAAAATGTAAAAAGAAGATAATAGTACCTATCTGATAGGATTATTTTGGGGATTTAGTTTGTAGTAAGGGTTACATGCCTAACAGTGCTTGGCATATAAATGTTTTTTAAAACAATTTTTTTTTTTTTTTTGGTGGTGGTGGTGGTGGTGGTGCTAGGGATGGAACCCAGGACCTTATGTAATTGAGGCAAGCATTCTACCATCTGAGCTATATCCCAGCCATAAATTTTATTTTTACAAGGTCAAAATATGTACATTCCAGAGTTAAATGCATACTTTTGTTAAATCCTGGACTCTGAGACAATTAATCAGTACCTTTTGAAATTTGTAAGAGTAGTTTTAAAATATATAAAATTAATAACAAAGCAGTTTATTACACAAAATAAATTTTATTGGCTAATAAACAAGTTCAGGAAAGGGTCAGTAATTCTGGGTAATAGAACATACTCTAACTATGGTGTTGAAGCTGTGAATTTTCCTCACAAACTCTGCAAAATCTTGTCAGAGGACTTGAAGGCTATTAACTTCTCTTACCTCAACAGGCAATGACTCTTGCCTCCCATATAGACTAGCCCAAGATAAAATTTTTTACTAAAGTATGAGACTATGTCAGAAATTCTGGTAGTTTTGGAAAAGTCTTTGAGCAAAGGCAATCAGATTCAGGAATTGATGTATATTATTCATGTTCATTGACATCAAATTCCTTAATTTTGTGATAACTGTGTAAAACGTAACAGTATCCTAGCATGCAAGGCTTAATGGTTAAGTGATTTTTAGTTGAGATTTTCTATGGTAAAAAGTAAATACATTAAATGTGACTTTTGTGTATAATAAGATACAAGGTGTCCTGTCTTTTAGTAATTTATAATCCAGCAACTTTATTGTTTGTACTGTAGACTTATTTTATTTGTTGTACCTACTGTTTTAATGAATGAAAATTAAGAACTCTGCCATGTTTCTGAGGTATATTCTGTAGCAAAAACCTCATATTATATTGCTAACTTGTGCTCTTAATTCTTAAGGCCTAAATTTTGATGCCTTTTTCCATCTCTAGGTAATGCACGAACCATTGCAAACCTGGCAAGATGCACCTTACATTTTTATTGTACATATTGGCATTTCATCCTCAAAGGAATTATCGAAAGAAAATTCACTAAGTAATCTTTTCACCAGTAAGTTCAATTCATTTCTGTTTTAAAAGTTTGGGTTAATTTTTACTTTATGTCATTTATGGCAGTAGGGTAACATTGTTTAAGCAAGGGAATAATTTAGTAAGAAAGTTCTTGTGAAGTGAAAAAAGTGGAAGAGAAAAATTAACATGTTTTTGCACTCAGTATTACCATTCAATCACAGGCACTTAACATATCCTTTCTTCTTAGATATTATAGATACTAGATTTCATTTTCCTTGGATTCTCTTTTAATTTTTTTTTTTTTGTAATTGTAGGTGGACAGCATGCCTTTATTTTGTTTATTTTGTTTGTTTACTTTTATGTGGTGCTGAGGATAGAACCCAGTGCCTCACATGTGTAAGGCAGGTGCTCTGCCACTGAGCTACAACTAATTTTTAATCAATATCAATGTTCTCAGGATTCTGAACCAGAATTGTCAAAACTTGGTTACCAAGTCAAAATTTAAAATTTTAATTAACCTTGGTTATTTTTTAGTGCCTGAAGAATTATTTTTTAAATTTTCTTTCATACATGTACTTAAAAATTTTTTTTTAGTTGTAGTTGGATACAATATCTTTATTTTATTTATTTATTTATCTTTATGTGGTGCTGAGAGTCGAACCCAGCGACTCGCATGTGCTAGGTGACCACACTACCACTGAACCACAACCCCAGCTCCACCTCAAGAATTTTTCTTAAGTGTTCTTTCTGTTGTTTTTTTGTCAGTGCAGTCGTTGCTTCTTGCCTGGAGTTTGTCAATACCTTCCTAACTGATTGTACTTTCTTGGTGTCTGTTTTATATTTTCTTTTATTTTGTAGCTTTCTTTCTTAGCTTGATTTTTTTGTTTTGTTTTGTTTTGTTTTGTAGTTGGACACAATCTTTATTTATTTATTTATTTTAATGTGGTGCTGAGGATCGAACCCAGGTCCTTGCACATGCTAGGCAAGCGCTCTACTGCTGAGCCACAATCCCAGCCCTTACCTTGCTTTTTTAAAAATTTGTTTCAATTAGTTGTACATGACAGTAGAATGCTTTTTTGCACTTTAATATATCATACATAGATGGGATATAATTTCTCATTTTTGAAGTGTACATGTTGCAGAATCATGTTGGTCATGTAGTCATATATATATATTTGTAATGATGTCTGTTTTATTCTACTATTTTTCCTATCCCCACATCTCCTCCTCTTCCCTCCACCTAATCTAAAGTAATGCTGTTCTTACCTAGTGCCACCCCCCCTCTTATTGTGAATTAGCATCTGCATATTAGAGAAAACCTTCAGCCTTTGGTTTTATGAGATTGGCTTATTTTGCTTAGCATGATATTATCCAACTCCAACCATTTACTAGCATATGCCATAATTTCACTCTTCTCTAAAGCTGAATAATACTCCATTGAGTATGTATACCAATTTTATTTTTCCATTCATCTATTGAGGGAAACCTAGGTTGGTTCCATAGTCTAGCTATTGTGGATTGAGCTCTATAAACTTGGTATGGCGCGTCACTATAGTATGCTGATTTTAAGTCCTTTGGGTATAAACCAAGGAGTGAGATAGCTGGGTCAAATGGTGGTTCCATTCCCAGTTTTCTGAGGAATCTTCATACTGCTTTGCATAGTGGTTGCACCAATTTGTAGTCCCCCCAGCAATGTATAAGTGTACCTTTTTCACCTCATCCTCGCCAACATTTATTGTTGCCTGTACTCTTGATAATTGCCATTCTGACAGGAGTGAGATGAAGTCTTAGAGTAATTTTGATTTTCATTTCTCTAATTGCTAGAGATGTTGAACACTTATATTCTTCTGTGAAGTGTCTCCTTAGTTCCTTTGCCCATTTATTGATTGGGTTATTTGTTTTTTTTTGTGTGTGTGTTAAGTTTTTTGAGTTCTTTATGTATCCTAGAGATTAATGCTTTATTGAAGGGGCATGTGGTAAAGATTTTTCTCCCAATCTGTAGACTCTCTCCCCATGTTATTGTTTCCTTTGCTAAAAGGAAGTTTTTTAATTTGAATCCATCCCATTTATTGATTCTTGATCTTTTTGCGCTTTAGGAGTCTTATTAAGGAAGTCAGATCCTAGGCTGACATGATGAAGATTTGGGCCTGCTTTTTCTATTTCTATGAAGAATGTCATTGGGATTTTAATAGGATTTGCATTAAATCTGTATAACGCTTTTGGTAGTATGGCCATTTTGACTGTATTATTTCTGCCTATCCAGGAACATGGGAGATCTTTCCATCTTCTGAGGTTTTCTTCAGTTTCTTTCTCTAATGTTCTGTAGTTTTCATTGTAGAGGTCTTTCACCTCTTTTGTTACATTGATTCCCATTTATTTATTTATTTATTTATTTACTTATTTACTCGAGGCTATTGTGATTGTGAATGGAGTAGTTCTCCTAATTTCTCTTCAGTGGATTCATCACTGATGTATAGGAATGCATTTGCTTTACGGGTGTTGATTTTATATCCTGCTACTTTGCTGAATTCATTTATTAGTTCTAGAAGTTTTCTAGTGGAATTTTTGGATCTTCTAAATATAGAATCATGTCATCAGCAAATAGTGATAGTTTGACTTCTTCTTTACTTATTTGTATCCCTTTAATTTCTTTCTTTTGTGTAATTGCTCTGGTTAGAGTTTCAAGGATGATGTTGAATAGAAGTGGTGAAAGAGGACATTCTTGTCTTGTTCCAGTTTTTAGCAAGAATGCTTTCAATTTTTCTCCATTTAGAATGGCCTTGGGTTTAGCATATAAATAGACCACAATACAATAATACTGGATTACTTTAACACACCTCTCTCACTACTGGACAGATCTTCCAAACAAAAACTAAATAAGGAAACTGTAGAACTAAATAATACAATCAATAATTTAGACTTAACAGACATATATAGAATATTTCATCCATCAATGAACATATTATGCTTTGTGGCATAAGATATGGTCTATTTTTGAGAAGGCGCCATGTGCTTCTGAGAAGAAAGGATATTTGTTCATTGATGTAACATCAAAATCTCTGGGACACTATGAAGGCAGTACTAAGTGGAAAGTTTATTGCATTGAGTACATTCATTAAAAGAATAAAAAGTCAACAAATAAATGACCTAACACTACATCTCAAAGCCCTAGAAAAAGAACTTCAAATCAACACCAAAAGCAGAAGACAGAAAATAATTAAAATGAGAGCTGAAATTAATGAAATCGAAACAAGAGAAACAATTGAAAAAATTGACAAAACAAAAAAGTTGGTTCTTTGAAAAAATAAATAAAATAGATAAATCCCTGGCCATGAAGAGAAAATCAGAGATAATTCAAATTACTGAAATACAAGATGAAGAAGGAAATATCACAACAGACACATCTGAAATACAGAAGATAATTAGAAACTATTTTGAAAATTTATACTCTAATAAAATAGAAAATATCAAAGACATTGACAAATTTCTAGAGACATATGACCTACCCAAACTGAATGAGGAGGTCATACATGATTTAAACAGATTAATTTCAAGTAACGAAACAGAAAACAACATCAAAACCCTACAAACCAAGAAAAGCCCAGGATCAGATGTATTCTCAGCTGAGTTCTACAAGACTTTCAAAGAAAAATTAACACTAATACCCCTCAAAGTATTCCATGAAATAGAAAAGGAGAGAACACATCTAAACTCATTCTATGAGGCTAATATCACCCTGATACCAAAACCAGACAAAGAAATATCAAGGAAAGAAAACTTCAGACCAATATCCCTGATGAATATAAATGAAAAACTCTCAATAAAATTCTGGCAAATGTCATACAAAAACATTAAAAAGATAGTGTACCACAATCAGGTGGGATTCATCCCAGGAATGCAGGGTTGGTTCAACATACAGAAATCAGTAAACATAATTTATCATATTAATAGACTTAAAAACAAGAATCACATGATCATCTCAATAGATGCAGAAAAGGCATCTGACAAAATACAGCATATTTTCATGTTCAAAACACTAGAAAAACTAGAGATAGTAGGAACTTACCTTGCTTTCTTAAGTAGAATATGGAATAGAATCAATGATGGCAATCTTCTTTATCTTGCTTCTAACTTTACTGGTAATATTGGCAGATTTCACCCTTAAGTACAATACTGACTATAGATTTTTCAAAATACTCTTTTATTTGGTTAAGGATTTTTTCCCCCCAAGTTTAGTAAGTATTTTTCTCTCTCCTCTTTTTTTTTTTTTTTTCTTTCAGTGCTGGGGATTGAACCCAGGGCCTTGCACATGCTAGACAAGCACTCTACCACTGAATGAAATTCCCAGACCTACTAAGAAGGAATACTCAATTTTATCAAATAGTATGATGATATAAATAGGCTTTCTCTTTAATATTTTAGTTTAGTTTTTGATACCAGTGATTGAACTCAAGGGTATTTGACCACTGAGCCACATTCTCATCCTATTTGTATTTTGTTTAGAGACAGAGTCTCACTGAGTTTTGCTCAGTGTCTTACTATTGCTGAGGCTGACTTTGAACTCAAGATCCTCCTGCCTCAGCCTTCTGAGCTGCTGGGATTATAAGCATGTGCAACCACCCTGGCTTTCATTTAATATTTTAATGTGATATATTAACTGGTTTCTAATTTTAGATCATTTTAAAATTTCTGGGATGCCACTCCTTGGTCTTGGTACACATGCCTTTGTGCCCTCTCATACACATAGAAAAACATTATTTGGTTCTGTTTGCTAGTATTTTTATTAAGTTTGTTGTTTGTGTTCAAAGTAAGATTGGCCTATACTTTAAAGTACTCATAAATTTTCTATAATAATAATAATAATAAATGTTTTACTTTATTTTTTTTTTGAACTTTTTTTTTGAGGAATTGTACTTCATAGAAGATTTTTAAGTTGTGGATGAAGTTATTGATGGTATTTACAAAAATCTATACCTAGCTTTAAAAAAATCCTTAATATTGCTTTTGTTTTCTCTTTTTAACTTGTTAAGTCTTCTTAGAATTTTGTTTTGTTTTTATCATAATAAATCAGCTTTTGATTTTGTCAATTTTCCCAACCATTTTTTTGTTTATTTCATTAACTGCTTTATCTTTTATTTACTTTTAAGCTTTTATGATTTTTGTGTTTAATGCTTAATTCCCAATTCAGAAATGAGTGTTATTGTGCCTTATGGTGATAAGGGATTTAGCAAATTTAGGCAAACCAGCAGGTGATGGGGTATGATTTCTGGACCCAAAATTTTATGTGTATCCTTCAGGCTTCCTAGGCCCGTGACTTTCTAATGGATAATAGTCTCAAGGAGAAGTTGCTGGCATTTATTTTCAACCTTCTTTCTTTGAAAAGGATGGAAAAGAGGCCCTCTTTCATTCCCACTTGAGTTGCCTTCATGCATCAAACCTGACTCTGGTTTCTCTTCTTTTTCTTTGAATCCTACTAGTTTCAGTGATTTATAGGAAATGCTGCCATAGCTTCGTTTTGGGCCCAGGATCCCACATGGTCAGGGATTCAGCCTTCTGCACTGTTCTGTGTTTCTGTTCAGTTTTCATTCTTGGAAATGTTTATTTTAAGCAAACTTTTAAAAAATACATATGTATATATTTTAGTTGTCAGTGGACCTTTATTTTACTTATTTATATGTGGTGCTGAGAATCGAATCCAGGGCCTCACATATGCTAAGCAAGCACTCTACCACCCAGCCACAACCCAGTCCCTGTTTATTTTTGAACTTGTGCCCTTTTTAAAAAAAAACTTTTTTTAATTATAGTTGACACAATACCTTTATTTCATTTATTCATTTCTATGTGGTGCTGAAGATTGAACCCAGCACCCTGCACGTACTAGGTGAGCGTCCCCACTGAGCCACAACCCCAGTCCCTGAACCTTTACCCTTTTTGTTTTCTCCTTTATGTTTTATCCATTGGTTGTTAGGAGCTCAGAAGGTAAATGAATACAGGACTTTACCATCTGAAAGTCCTAGAATTATCTCTCTAAAAAGTTTCATTATCTCTTCTTTCTTTTAAAACTTTTGATGGGGCTGGGGTTTTAGCTTGGTGGTAGATAACTTGCCTAATGTGTTTGAGGTACTGGGTTCGATCGTTGCTACCACATAAGAATAAATAAATATGTAAAATAAAGGTATTGTGTTCACCCACAGCTAAAAATATTTAAAAGAAGTTAAAAACCACCTTTGATTACTCCCCATTGCCTGTAAAGTGTCCACATTTTCCAGTAACATTTGAAAAATTATAATTTCCCCAAGTTTACTTTTTGTTAACTTATATTAATGCTATTGTATTGTACTATGTATGTTTAAGGCTATATGCCCTTTAAATACACAGCCCACATTTTCACAACAGTTTTTCTGTTTCTCTCTCTCTTTTTTTTTTTTTTTTGTGGAAGTGAGTATTGGGGATTAAGGCCAGGAGTGCTTAACCACTGAGCAACATCATCAGTCCTTTTTATTTGGAGACAGGATCACACTGAGTTGCTGAGGGTTTTGCTAAGTTGCTGAGGCTGACTTAGAACTTGTGATCTTCCTACTTTAGCCTCCCAAGTCATTGTGATTGGAGGCTTGTGCTATTGTGCATAGCTTATTTCCTCTATCTGGAAGGCTTTTTACTTTATCATGGAAAATACTCATCCTTCTGGGTCTGGCTCAGAGGTATGGTTCTCTGTGTTGCTTTCTAAATCCCTTTTCCTTGCTAGATGATAATCCATTAGATGAAAGAAAACATCTTTCTATATGCTATTTCTCATAAGCCTGTAGCACATAGTGAGTGGTCCATAAGCATATATTTTAACATAGACCAGTGGTTAGCAATATTTTCTGTTCTTTTTATTTTGTTTTCTTTATTTTACCTAAGTTTTTCTTGAAGGGTCAGATAATAAGTGTTTTCTCTGTTGCAACTATGCCAACTGTGGTGGTGCAGAGGCAGCTGTAGATGATACATAAATGAGTGGATGTGACTATGTTACAATTAAATTGTATTTACAGAAGAAGTAGATGGCTAAAATTGATCTCTGTGCTGTATTTTGTTGACCTCTGGCATAGAATAAACAAAGAATGTGACACAAATATTCACTAATTATTTTGTTTGTTCTTTTATTAAATTAGGAAAGGGTATAGAGTTAATAACAATTCTGGTTTGTAAGTTTTATAATTGATCTTAAGGTATCCCCCCACCCCCCCAAGTATTGGATCTGGTTTACTTTCAATAATGGTATATCCTTTTAGTCTGATAAAAGCTAATAGGAAATTTTGATCAGATGGGCAGGAATTGCTTGTCTAGAGGTAATAATATTTTAGAAAAATCAGATTTTTATTTATCAGTCATACCTAGATTTTTACCCTTTTTTAAATCAATTATAGTTAATCTTAAAAAAATAGTACATCTTAAAAAATTAGTTTTATCAGTTATAGGCAGTCTTATAATACTCAATAAGTTTGCTTCAGTAAGACTGTCTTTCAGATTCATGTTGTTGCACTTTAATTATTGGCAAAAGTTTTTTTTTTTTTTTTTAAATATTTATTTATTTATTAGTTATTGGCGGACACAACATCTTTGTTTGTATGTGGTGCTGGAGGATCGAACCCGGGCCGCACGCATGCCAGCTGAGCGCGCTACCTCTTGAGCCACATCCCCAGCCCGGGCAAAAGTTTTAAAAAATGTTAACTACCAAGTTTTAAGAAAGTCCAATTCTTTTTTTTTTTTTTTTTTTTTTTTGGTGTCAGGATTCTAGATACATGATTAGGAAACTGGATTGTTTTCACTTTATTTTGTCGGCAGGTACATTATTTGTAAGAGTTAATTTGAATTTGTAGGTTTTAAAAAATACTTTCATTCTCTAAATAATACACTAAAACAACAAGATTATATAAAATTGAAGTCAGTTAAAAAAAGTAGTAGGAAAGTATAAATAAGCAGATATAGAAGATAAAGGTGATAGAATAAAAAAAGGAAGCCTTGTAAAAATTTTAGTGATATATTGTGAGAAATATACATATGAAGTGTATCTGGAATTTAGAGGAGATGAGGAATAGTTCTAGATAGCCCACTCAGAGAAGACTTTTTGGAGGAAATATAATTCAGTCTAGTCTTTATGGGATATGAGTCCATACTCATCCCACATCAGACTGGAGCATGGATTTTGGAAACCTGTGTAGGATATAGGATGAATGATGAGAATACTTAATGAATTTCAAAATGCTGTACAAATGTAATGCAATATTCGTAAGAATTGAAGTGGTTAAAAGTAAATGACCTGGTAAAATTGTCATTCATTTTGTCAAATAGTAGACAATATTAGACAAAAGTCTAATTTCTGAATCCATTAAATTAATTTTGAGGACTGTGTTTTGGCAGTGACTGTTGAAGTGAAGGGTCCCTATGAATATCTCACGCTTGAAGATTATCCATTGATGATTGTAAGTGAATTTATATTTTTAAGTTCAGTATTAAATGATTTTAGCTTGAAAAATTGTCCACGTTTTGTGGCAGTATTTTTTTTTTTAATTTTTCCTGTGCAGCTTAGAAAATGTTTTTTGATGTTCTGTACTTAACTTTATTAGACTGTTACTTTGGGAGAGTTATTATACCCTGAGGGCCTCATTTTTTTAACCTGTAAAATGAAGAGGTTAATGACTTTCAGATTTGAGACTTGAAAAGTATTTCATAGATTGTGTTACACTTCATAGTCTCTCTAGGATCTAAAGTAGGGCAACAACCCTACAACCCTATAGTTGTACAGTGATACAACCCTGTAGTTTCTGAGTCCACTCAAAGTAACTAAGTAATGAAGGTTTCTCCTATTCATTTTGTATGTGTTTATAGGCACATGGCTATCTGATTACTCTCTTCTTCTTTCCCTTTAATGGTTTTCCTATTTTGTGTTTTGTGATCTCTTCAGTGTTCTCATTTATATAAATTTGGATTGTGAGCTAAAAGAGAGCAGTCACCCTTAAGGATGAGTCCTTGTATACTCTGACTCTGCTCAAGAGGAGATAATTCTTCAACTTTTTTAGTATTATACTCCAAAAAAAATCATTTTTTTCAAATAGAATGTAGGATATGTATATTTTTGTAGTTCGTTAAGACTTATAAAATTCGTAGCTCTTAGCCCTAATTCTCTTTTTCATCTCTTACCCAATTGGATGACAGTTCTTCATGGTGATGTGTATTGTCTATGTCCTGTTTGGTGTTCTGTGGCTGGCATGGTCTGCCTGCTACTGGAGAGATCTCCTGAGAATTCAGTTTTGGATTGGTGCTGTCATCTTTTTGGGAATGCTTGAGAAAGCTGTCTTCTATGCAGAATTTCAGAATATTCGATACAAAGGAGAGTCTGGTATGTAATAAAAAAATTTACCAGTTTGAATGATTGGTGAAATGTATAAAAATTTTCCTAAGGTCAGTAATAATTAAATAGGTCTACTTTTAAAATTAGCTAATTATTAGAATAATTTAAGCAGAATCACTATGATTGTGACTTTTCTTTTTGATCTTGTAATTTAAGGGATTAGTGATATAAGGATACTTTTACTGAAATATATTCACAAAATAATTGCCATTTTGGGAATGATTATTAACACCATTAAATCTTGTTGCAATTGATATATAAGGCACCATTGTTGTTCTTTGTGATGCTGGTGATCAAACCTGGGGCCTCATACACACTAGCAAGTGCCCTACCACTGAGCTATATCCCAACCCTAAGGCTCCATTATTATATACATCAAGAAAGAAAGTAGGGCTGGGGTTGTAGCTCAGTGGGAGAGCACTTGTCTAGCATGTGTAGCCACTGGATCTGATTCTCAGCACCACATAAAAATCAATAAACAAAATAAAGATATTGTACATCTACAACTAAAAAAAATTAAAAAGAAAGAAACAGTACCAATTTAAGAATGCCAGTAAGCTGCCATTGATAGTAGGGTACATTTGATTTCAAATATCTTAAAAAATATGGAGGAAAATTGCATCCAAGAATTGATAAAATGTAGGGGTACCAAGAAAATAGGAAGTTGCTTTTATTTTATTAAGGTGAACTGGTTATATCAAGAGATTGCTTTGTACTGAAGTTTATTGAGATAGCTTCTGTAGCTTTCAGTTCTTCCACCAGGACATTTGATTGTTAATAATTATTGTTGCAAGATATTCTAATTAGATCTTTGAAAGGGCTTAAAGTAGTGGGTGCAAAGTTGAAAATCAGACACATGCATGTGTATGCATGTATGTTTTGTACTTTTCTATGTATAGCTATATTTTACTATTTTAAAAAATGGAGAAGAAATATCCTTGATACTACAAACATGTACAAATTGTCCATGTAGGGTGAGCTATTCTGTTAAGATTTTAGTGAAGTTGGGTAGGAGATGAGTTGAGCACATGTGAGTAAGATTTAAGAGATAACAGCTTGTATGCTTTTAAAAATTGTGGAAGAGGTTTTCTTTTTTATTAGGACTTTATATCAGTGCTTATTCTGAAGAGTGTTAGTGATTTATATTTGATATTGGAATTATGTCTTTTGTATAGTGTCATTTCTTGCTTTCTTTTTTATCGTAGTCCAAGGTGCCTTGATCCTTGCAGAGTTGCTCTCAGCAGTGAAACGCTCCCTGGCTCGAACCCTTGTCATCATAGTTAGTCTGGGATATGGCATAGTCAAGTAAGTAGTAATTTCCTATATGAAAGAGCAAATTAAAATGATGACTAAAATAAAATACTGTTGCAGGTTCCCCATATAGTAGTTCTGAAAGAAATAATTCTGAAATAAGAAAAGATCTGGAATTTTGGAACATTGTAAGTATTGGGAAAATATTACTATTTCATTTCACTGCTTCAAGTGCACCTGCAGAAAAAACCTGCAGTGTAACAAATAATTCTGAAATACCAAACTTGGAAAAAACTTAACAGTGACTTTACTCTTCCAAAAATTTTTTGCAAGTCAGACTTTTTGTTGTTGTTGTTGAGAAGAACATTCTTACTGTAACTGTCTAAAATTTACTTTTATTTAAAAAATTTTTTATCTAGCACCTTCTATATTATAGACATTGTTCTAGGTCCTGAAAACAGAAGATTTGTTGAGAAAGGGGGCACATACAAAATTGAAATAAATGAGTTAAATAATTTTAGTCAGTGAAAAGTGCTATGGAGCAGAGAAAGGGGACAGGGCATACTAGGCAGGAGTTCAAGCTTAGGGTTGTAAATAGAATTCAAGGAATGCTTCACCTCGTGACATTTAAGCAGAGATATCAAGGAGGTAAGGGAGCTAGATGTGGACCCAAGGGAAGAGATGCTGAGATGGGATTAGATTCTGTATATTTTGAAGGTAGAGCCAATGGAATTTCCTAGTGAATCAGATTTGTTGTGATATAAAAGAGAAGAGGAACCAAGGATGATGCCAACTGTTTTGGTCCAGTCAAGTGGCAGGAAGGAATTGACATTGGGAAGCAAACTGAAGACTGTTTTGAGGAGGGTTATTAATTGTATCAAATGCCCTCAGGTCAAGTAAGAGGACTGAGAATTAACTTTTGTCTTTAATTCCATGGAGGTGCTAATGACCTTGACAAGAACAGTGTTGGTGAAGTAGTAGGGACAAAAGCCCAATTGGAGGGAGTTCTAGAAAGAACTGGAGTTAGCTACATGTAGTAATTATTTGAAAGAGTTCAGCCTTAAGCAGGATTAGAGGAATGGGGATTTAATAACTTCTGCTATATGCCAGGAAATATTCAAGGTTTCTGAGATATAACCAGTAGGAAAATTTCCCTCCCCTTAATGTTTTCCTAGTGTGTAACAAAAAATATACAAGGCTTTGTCAGATGTGATTTAAGCAAGTGCATCTTAAACATTAGTGATTACCTGGTAATCTTGTTAAAATGCTAGATTCTGATTCAGTAGGATTTTTATTAAGTATTTAAGGCTTTCTATCTTTATACAGAATTTGTTCAAAAGACTTTTTTGTATTTTGTTGGGAGTTTTTTTATTTTGCTGTGCTAGGCATCTCATCCAGGGCCTGAGGCATGCTGAGGCAAGTGCTGTATCCTCCAGCTTTTGTTGGATTTTGAGCTTGCAAATACATTATTTGTTTAATTAAAGGTAGATAATAGGGTATTTGATGATACTAAGAAATTGTTGAAAAACATTTTTAGATTTGCTAATAGTACTGTAGTTATGTTTTTTTAAAAGTGTTAACATACTGAAATGCACAAAAAGATATGGTATCCAGGATTTGCTTCAAGATAATAGGAAGAGTGGGAAATGAGATGCTAGGTAAGTGCTCTACTACTGAGCTGCAACCACAGTTCTATAGGGATTTATTTTACTGCTTTTGAATATTTTTCAAAATTATCTATAATAAAATTTTTTTCTCAAATATAGTAACTAGAGACAGGATCTTAAGTTCTACTTTTCCCTATCTTGCTTTAAGGTCAGTTTGTTCTTATGAATTTTTCTTTCAGGTGAATCAGATGTGTGTTGCTTATCACTAGATTGTTAGCCTGTGCTAATTAACATAAGTTCCTCTGACTTTGCTTGTGTTAAGGTGTGTCCTGTGTGTACTCAACTTTTCCTTTGCTTCCTTTGTAGGCCTCGCCTTGGAATCACTCTTCACAAAGTTGTGGTAGCAGGAGCCCTCTATCTTTTGTTTTCTGGCATGGAAGGGGTCCTCAGAGTTACAGGGGTCAGTATTGCTTACTCTGAAATTTTGTGGTCAATTCACTTACATCATTTTGGTCTTGAGAGGGGGAATTGGAAGTGTCTGTGGGTTTCTTTGCTTCTCTTACTTATGGGCTCTGTTTTTTAAAATGTATGTATTTCTGATTTTCAAAATGTATATAGGTTTAATATCTTCTATCTGAAATATTTGAGACCAGAAGTTTTTGGACTTTAGAGTTCTTCGTATTTTAGAATATTTGCCTAAACTTTACTGGTTGAGCAACTCTCAAAATATTGCAAAAATCAGAATTCGAAAATATTCTAAAATCTGAAACTTTTTGAGGGTTACAGGTTTGGGAATTTTGGATGAGTGATGCTCAACCTGTATTTTTTTTTTTTAAATCTATCTATTAGAGCTTTATAAATTTAATGTATGACCCAGAATGAATGCTTTCCCCCTGTCCCCACATTGGCAATTCTTCAGTTCCTTTTCCTGGTCATTCATCTCCCATTCTTGAATAAGTAGCAACCATTGGAATCATGTACTTACTGGTTTAAATAGCAATACTCTTTGCTTACCCAGCAATTTTAAAGATTTCCTTAAAATGGAACTAATTAAGTTTCACACCATCTTTATGAATTATTAAGTATTCCTTTTGCCAAGAAAGAAAACCAAAGCTCTGAGATCTGAGTGAAGAAATTTGTTACAAATTAAAAAAGAAAAGAAAAATAAATTTATGTTAGAGGATTGAGGATGTAGTTCAGTGTTAGAACACTTGTTTGACATGTACGTAATGCCCTGTATTCAATCTCCAGTGGCAAAAATAAAGAAAGTTATATTAGAGATGGAGTAATGTGGAAAAAAAAAATTTGCCTCCCTGTGATTTTCCAATTATCTTCTTTTTTTTTTAATATTTATATTTTAGTTGTAGTTGGACACAAAACCTTCATTTTTATTTATTTATTGTGGTGCTGAGGATCGAATCCAGGGCCTCTCACATGCTAGGCGAGCACTCTACTGCTGAGCCGCAACCCCAGCCCTAATTATCTTCTTACTTGTTTAAAAATCAGATTCTATAAAAACTTATGAAATTTAAGGTGGTAAATTCTGTAAACTTGGCTTTGTCCTCAATAAAACTGGGCTCATTAGGTTTTGCAATAAGTTTCTCCTTAAACATAACACTTTGTGATTGCAAATTTGTTTTTCAAACCTCACCGTCCTCTACACAATTTCCTTAGACTTTTAGCAACTTTAACCCTCTGTCAATTTCGTTTTCTTTCTTCTGCTGCTGCTATAGTATTTTTCTTATTCCTTGGCTCTGATAGTAAGCCTGGCCCTCTCAGCAATTGATGCCTGTATTATTTTATGGATATCCTTTCAATAATGTCCTGGTGATTGGGTTGTTAGGATTATATAAAAAGGATTTTGGATATCAACTGGTAGAAACTAGTAGCATCCTTTTGGGGACAGATAATTTGTTTGTAACACTTCATTAAAACAATTTTGGAAATCAGTAATTTTTTTGTATATTTCACACTAATTTGAAATATGAGAAGGCTTTTTAAGACGTTAGTAGAAATCACAATTATAGGAAATCAGATGTGATGGAGGTTATAAGTACTAGAAGTTTTTTGGTGTTGACACCTCTTACGTGGATATTAATGTGTTGGGAACTCTGTGGTAGTTACTTCTATAGTAGTTAGCAACAATTTCATTGTATTGAAATTGTAATTGACAGTTTGTGTGAAACACTGATATGGTTGTATGTTCCGTGTGAAGGTTTGAAAGAAGGAAAGAATGGTTAGATGCCATGTGTTAGTCATTTTTATTTTCTTTTAGCTGAAAAGCAAAGTCATTCCAGATTATATTAACGCAGAATCATATGCTGGTTTCTTCTCTGTGCCTCTTTAGCCATCTGTTTTTCACTACCTCTTGTTCTTTGTCTGCAGGCCCAGACTGATCTTGCTTCCTTGGCCTTTATCCCCTTGGCTTTCCTAGACACTGCCCTGTGCTGGTGGATATCCTTCTCATTGGCTTGTTTGATGGAGGTCCATTTTCTCCCTTTGGAGATGGGTTTCTATTAATCTTTCTGCAAAGAGTTTACCAGTTTTATTAATTTCTCCTTAACCTGGGATATAGTGTATTTTAAGTCCTAACAACCTGAAGGTTCAGGTAAGCAGTTTGTTTGTTTAATTTTTTAAAATCATAAAAGTGGGCAACTGTGGACTGCACACAAAATAATAGCTTCTGGCTTTTCTTTTTTAAACAAGCATTTCACCTTGATTTTGGATTTGTTATTTGCTCACCTCACTTTGGTGTTAGAATCACGGCTACTCTGGTGCTGTTCCTTCTTTTAACTGCTACCAATTATTAAATGCTTTGACACAAAAAGAGCTTGATCCATAAAATGTGGTTTCAGGAACTAATCAGGTGGTTTCATTCTTCTGAAACTTAAACAGGTTTAGCAAGTTTCCACTTGTACAGGATGACTGTTTTTTTCCTCATTCAAAAGTTGACTTGGGATTGTCTGAAGACTTTCACCCTTCAGAATAAATATTGATATCATTTACATGCAAAGTCAGCAGCAGTAAACAAGTTTCTGTTTTAATTTTTTTTCCTGCTCCTTAAAATTAAATATTTGTCATTAGGGTATTGGCCTTCAATAGAGTGAAGGACTCAGGTTTTTGGACTTTTCTGGATTATTTTGAATTTATTTGGCTTTTATAGATTTGGACCTATGTGTGATTGCCAATATCATTGTCTTGATTGTGACTATTATGCAAAGTAGAATGTGAACAAAATTGTAATTTTGTGAATTTGATTGGATTTTGATATAGCAAAATGTTTGCAATTGAAGTGTTCTGGGTGCAGATGACCAAAACTTCTAGATCAGTATCTTTCCTTTTGTGATTTGTGAACCCCTGTGAGTATTGAGAGTGGTAGAGAGGTAGGTGGGATTGGACCATGCAATAAGATAACACAGTGGCTAATTAACAGCCTTGGCTCTGATAAAGGGTAGAGCAAACTCCAGCTCCCTTATTTTTAGATCTGTTTCTCATTCTGAAAGTTGACATGGGAGTGGATATCCATCATCCATAATTGTTATGTCTCCTGTCTTTCTCTAGCAGTGCCACTTGGGAATGGAGATTGATTGTTTTGGGAGCCTAATTGCCTGGGATTCTCAGACAGTTGTGGGGTCCTCTTAATTTATGGTAGCGCTGGCAAATGATTGCAGGTTCCAGTAGATGGCAGAAAGGGACCAAGTGTAGAACTATGGAAGGTTGTAGGCAGGAGCGTAAATTATGATCCTAGAGTGGGTTAGTCAGGCCAGTTGAGAATGGTTTCCAGTCTTGAAGAGTGAAGATGGTGTTAACTCCTTGTCCCTTGCCTCTTTCTTTTATCACTCTTTGTTTATTTCTTTTTTCATCTTTTGAAATTTGTTTTCCTAAAAAACTTGTTCCCATCTCTTTTTCTTTCTTTTTTTTAATATATTTTCTCTTTTTCTTTTATATTTTACATTCTTATTTTATCTTGATTCTTATTTTATCTTTTCTTCTATGAAAATGATGACTTATTATCTTGGTAAGGTTTAGTACGCTTGTGAGATTAAGTGAAAATAAGACAGTTTAGGCTTCTGAGACTCATAACTATTGCTATAACCCCAGATTGTCCAAGAAACCTAAGGGTTATTTTGCAAGATTTCTGTTTTTTTTTTTCCTGAATGTTTTAATTCCTTGACCTGCAAACACATATTTATTAGCCTGACTCAAACAATGAAGTTATTAAAACTTCGGAGGAACATCGTAAAGCTCTCTCTGTATCGACATTTCACCAACACGCTTATCTTGGCAGTGGCAGGTAAGTCTGGGACTTTCTTTCTGTTGTTTAAATGTGATCTTGTGATCCTTTCACAGCAGAGATTCTTAATCTGAGAGGTCATAGGTAGGCATAGAAGTTTTGTGCATTTAATTTGAGGAAAAAGTTCTTAGCCCTTATCAAATTCTCAAAAGCATCTATTGGTTTAAAAAAACAAAAAAGATTACTAGCTGAAAATCAACTTAATATAATTTTACTTTTTACCATGTCCCTTTCCTACTTCCATTCTCTCTCTCTCAGGCATTTTTTCCTTGAAACAAGTTAACTTCAAACAGCATTTGGATTGTTTTTAAAAGATATTACCATCTGTTTATTTGATTTTAGTAAATGGTATAGAACTTTAGATTAGGGTACATTGCTCTTTTGGTACTTTACATATTTTGCTAAGTGTACATAAAAAGCAGGCATTAGGTAGACTATAACCAAACTAGGCTAATTTGCTGACTTACTTTTTAGCCCTTTTACCAGGAATAGTGTGAGGTTTGTCCTTGATTGGAACTAATTCTTCTGTTTGTATTGCAGCCATTTTATCAACTGTTTTTTACTCATGTAACCAGCCTATGAAAAGTTAGCTCATTTTACTAAAAACGAAAGAAAGAAAATAAAATATTGATATGGAAAAAGCCATATTTCCAATGCTTCTGTGTTAATTCTGAGAGTTACTGAAGTAGTCAGATAGTAAACAAAATTATCACAAAACTTTCTTTAAATGCAGAAAGTGTTGACAAGAGTATGTATCATGGACCTTGCTTATGGTAGTTGTTCAGTAAATTAATATTGAATATATTTATGAAAATAACTGATAGAAAGTGATTGCATTGTATTGGAGATTAGTGGATGTGTGGAATTTTAATTGGGGGTGAAAATCATCATTGACCTGCTCTTATCAGGTTTTTTTATTTTATGTTAGCATCCATTGTGTTTATCATCTGGACAACCATGAAGTTCAGGATAGTGACTTGTCAATCGGTAAGTTATAAGTACACATTTGTAAATAGGGTACTGTTTTACGCATGATGATGATGTTGATGACAATGACAAAGTTCTTGTAAGGTAAGCACCATATAAGAAATTAGGGTGAGGTCTTCACTTTTCTCTTCCCAAAATTCTGTGCTCTCATGGTGCCATTGTATGATAGTTGTTTTTATTTGGTTCATTTGACTATCCCTGTGGTGGGAGAGAATGTTTTAAGTGATAACCACAGCCTGTCATAATCCAGGCTTACCTTAATTAAAAATTTCAAACCAGAGGTCCAATGTGCTGAATTTTAAGTATGTGTGAATAGTACTGATTTGAGTAGAAGCCCTGTCTTTAAGATCTGAGCACAAAGTCTGTAGCCAATAGGATTTTTTCCCCACATTTTTTTAATTGGTGAATTACAGTTGCCCAATAGGATTTATTTAAAATGAAAATGAATATTATAAAGTATAAAACCTTATATTACTTTTTCTTACCCGAAATAAAACCCTTCTCCAAAGATTCTAAGAGCTGGTGAATTTGATGTTTCTGTTCAGATGGTGCCTTTTCTTTAAGCACAGTAAGCACTGCAAAGGAAGAAACTACATTTATTCACTTTGTATTCCTAGCACTTAGCGCATATCAAGCTCTTAGTAAATGTAACATAAGTGCATAAATAAGTGATTCTTGTTCTATGCCAAGGGCTTTGTGAACAAAGTATAAAGATAATAAAATATAGACATTGTACTTTTCTCTACCTTCACTGTAGGACTGGCGGGAACTGTGGGTGGACGATGCCATCTGGCGGTTGCTGTTCTCCATGATCCTCTTCGTCATCATGGTTCTCTGGCGGCCATCAGCAAATAATCAGAGGTTCTTGGACTCTTACTTATTCTGCTAATGGTTAAATAGCTATTTAATGAAATAGGAGTGGTGCTTTAGAGGAGTTTGTCAGGGCTGTGTCATATAGTGGAAGAAATGTAGGGACTGGTATCAATTGAATTGGGTTCCTTTCTTGGCTTTCCTTAATTTGCTTTGTGATTTTGGCATGCTGTCTCTTTTCATTTCTCTGGGTCTCAGTTTCCTTTTCATATAATGATGACGAATTATATCAAATGATATGAGGTCCCTTTCAAATCTGACATCTTCTGATAATTATATAAGTAAATGACAGTCTCTTCTGTCAGCTGTCCAGAAGAAAATACAAATTTCTGTAGGCCCTACCCAACTCACTTTATAACAGTAGGGTAAAATGAAGACTTAAGCGATTGACTTAGGAATTAAAAATCCACATGTGAATTCACTTTGTTCAACTATATACAAATCTCTGTTATTAAAGAGTTGCCTGTTATTATTTTGTGAATATCCATGCCTTTGTTTCTCTCTCTCTTTTTTTTTAAACCCTTCTGTCCTCTTTTTTAGTTAGACAGTTAAGAGCTTATATTAAACAGTCACACCAAAGAAGGAAAGGTAAATAACTGAACAGCTCTTTTTTATGAAATGGGGTCTTGTGGTATTGCTCATTCTGTCCTCAAACTCAAAATCCTCCTGCTTCACACTCCTGAGTAGCTGGAATTATGGGGGACACCTCTGTGTCCAGTTTGAACAACTAATTTTTTTTTTTTTTTTTTTTTAGTTTTTAACACTTTTATTTTAGTATTACACAAGTGTACTAGAGAATAACAACAAGAACAAATCATGAAGGGAATGGTCTATTGGAAAGTAAGATGATGGTTTACATGATGCCAAAAATAGAAAGAAATATTGCAAGATAACCTAATGAGAAACGAATCCCTAGCACTAAGCAATTTCAAGAAACCTAATTAGAGTTGTTAAGACTAATCTGCCAACCTGGCATTTGCTCAAAATGTGGTCATGAACATTAACTTCTTTGGTGTGTAAAAACAGCAATTGTCTCAAAATCAGCAATATAAGACATCATTGTCTTAGTAGCAATACAAACTAGCATGTATCTCTTTTTTTTTTATTGTTGGTTGTTCAAAACCTTACATAGTTCTTGATATATCATATTTCACACTTTGATTCAAGTGGGTTATGAACTCCCATCTTTACCCCATATACAGATTGCAGAATCACATCAGTTACGCTTCCATTGATTTACATATTGACATACTCATGTCTGTTGTATTCTGCTGCCTTTCCTATCCTCTGCTATCCCCCCTCCCCTCCCCTCCCCTCCCCTCTTCTCTCTCT